CTATAGTTGGAACAGATCTTCATAATGGCAATTCTGGGTCCTATAAAAAGATACTACCTCTATTAATTTTTTCACAGCACTGCAAACAGTCGAGTGTGCCATTGTTGCCAACTAAAAGAGACATCTTGAAACGGCAGGGTTAATTTAATAGGGCAGGCCTATAGTGCTGTTTAAACATAGGATATAAGCCAAAGGCACACACTGGCACTGAATATTTAAGAGAAACACAGCCCAGCTTAGAAACAATGCATGAAGCTTATAAGCGTTAACTGGCTCAGAAAAACACTATGAGTAAATACAAATAACATGAATACAGCAAACACGCATAGTGATTTTATGTCTACCAACGTGTTCATTGTTTGTATAACAATTCCTAAGCCTCTCCTTGATGAAGCTAAGTACTATTTGTAGATGTCATCCAATATCTAGTTTGACAAATCAGTCCTTTCTTAAATTAAATCAGGTGTGGAATTACAACCCCATTTCCAAAAAAGTTGGGACACTGTGCAGAATATAAATGAAAATAGAATGCAGTGATATGCTAATCATGTAAAGCATATTTTTAAAGGAATATACTACAAAGACAACATATCAAATGTTGAAACTGAGACATTTTATTGTTTTTTTTTTAAATATAAGCCCATTTTGAATTTGATGCCAACAACACAATCCCAAAAAGTTGGGACGGGGGCATGTTTACCACTGTCTTTCATCACCTCTTCTTTTAACATCACTCGTAAGGATTTCAGCTGCTCAAAAGTTCAGGATCCAAATGTTATCAGTGGATGACATGTCTGGACTGCAGGCAGGCCAGTTTAGCACCTGGACTCTTTTAATATGAAGCAATGCTGTTGTAATACATGCAGAATGTGGTTTGACATTGCCTTGCTGAAATAAATAAGGCCTTTCCTGAAAAAGACATTATCTGAATGGCAGCATATGTTGCCAAAACATGAATATATCATTCAGCATTAATGATGCCTTCACAGATGTGCACATCACCCATGCCATAGGCACTAATGCACCCCTGTACCATCATGAATACTGGCTTTTGAACTGTGCACTGATAACAAGCTGTGTGGTCTTTAGCCCAGAGGACACAAGTGTTTATGATTTCCAAAAAAAAAAATCAAATGTTGATTTGTCGGACCACAGAACACTTTTCCACTTTCGCTCAGTCCATTTTAAATGAGCCCAGGCCCAGAGAAGGTGGCAGCATTTCTGGTTCCTGTTTATGTACAGTTTCTTCTTTGCGTTTTAGAGTATCAACTTGCATTTGTGGATGCAGCGACAAACTGTTTTCACAGACAGTGGTTTTCAGAAGTGTTTCTGAGCCCATGCATTGATTTCCACTACAGAATCATGTCTGTTCTTAATGCAGTGCCGCTTGAGGGCCCAAAGATCACGGCCAGCAAATACTGGTTTTTGGCCTTGTCCCTGACATACAGAGATGTCTCCAGATTCTCTGAATCTTTTAATGTTATTATGTACCGCAGATGATGAAAAGCAAAAGTTATTAGCTATTTTATGTTGAGAAACATTATTCTTGAATTGTTGCATTATTTGATCGTGCAGTCTTTCACAGAGTGATGAGCACCTCCTCATCTCTACTTATGACAGACTCAGCCTCTCTGGGATGCTTTTCTATACCCACATCATGTTACTGACTTGTGGCCAATCAACTGCCAGGTGTTTTTTTTTTAGCATTACACAACTTTATCAGCCTTTTGTTGCCCCAGTCCCAACTCTTTAGGAATGTGTTGTTGGCATCAAATTCTAAACGGGCATGTATTTTTCAAAAACCATAAAAATTTCTCAGTTTTGACCTGTGATACATTGTCTTTGTACTATTTTAATTAAATTTAGGGTTTAAATGATTTGCACATAATTGCATTTTGTTTGTATTTACATTTTCGACAGTATCTCAACTTTTTTAGAAAATGATTTGAGTTGTAAACAAATCCATGCAACAGCCAGGTGGAACTTTTAGAATGGGTTTGCCAGGTGAGACCCAGAGTTTTCATTAGGGTGGCACACTGCCAAGAAAAAAACTAAATTAAAGTCTTACTGCATTAAAATGACATAGGAAGTGATGCATTGTTTTTTCTCTGTAAAAACTTAAATCTCTCCATTATTTTCACGAGTAATATATTGCATCAAGTATTTAATATATTGCATCAAGTACAAAACTGTGATTATGTAACATATTTTAGTCACGCCTAGGGAAATTATGTATTTGCATCAAGTAAATTAAATGCATTCTCACTTTTATTCAGTTCACAATGTTAACATTCATAAAAAAATATTCATATAGACTGGTCATAGAAGTTATGAAAAGACTGCCCCGATACAGTTTATCCATGGGTCTAATGATTAGAAAGCTAGCCAGACAGCCCTGTATGAGGAAAACTATGCACGTGTTTAAGAGTAAAAAGTAATTAATTAGTAGGTTTAAACTAATCTTACCATCACACAGCCTACTTTATATTGTAGCATACAGAGCAGCACTGTGGAATGGTCCCAGTGCACCTCCACAAATGTACCTAATAGATACACTATTAAAGGCAGCGTCGTCAGACACTTATGACTTATTTGTAACTATTCCAATGGTAGCGAAAATGAAGCATAATTGGTGCTTTATTGATGATGGCCGACGGATGGTTAAAATCCGCTACCAAGCCTGTGTTCTTCAACCTGAAAACTAGAAATTTTTGATACTCTTTACTGCATTAATGTTTATTTGCATTTATTCTAATGATGTGTGATGCTTTGACAAGCAAAACACTTACTGCAAACATAAATGGTTGCAAACAATTTGCAATACACACAACTTATAGTACACATAATACAGAGATATTACATATTATAAAAACCTCCCACCTTTATGTTTCTCCATTACCTTCTCAAGTCATCGTGTAGCAGTGCAGAGGTGCCATTTAGGCTTAAGTCTCAGCGACTGCCATGTGGCATCTGTGTCCTTGAGAAAGCATGTAGAAGCCTCCTCAATGAGAAACCAAGTGATCTACATGTTCCATGTTAAAGTTAAGGTTCACTGTTTCAGTCCAAAGCTTTGTACACAGGCCTTTAGGCTACATTGAAAGGACTTGGACAAACATAAAGGAGTGGAAGTGCACACACACATCACCTAAATAACAGGCTGTCCACATTTTGGTCCGGAGGTTTGCTGCCGGAGTTAGAGCTGTCTGTGTGTGTTCGCAGAGTTCAGAGCTGATTTAAAATCGCAATTCTAATCAGACGTTCAAACATGAGTGTACAGAGTCTAAACACACAAAGGTATGGTTAGTACGCATAGTGGGCTACAGTATGTGAAACTGGTAGAACCAACACTGAATTAGCATCAATAAGGACATTTAGGTCAGCGCACACCTGTAACGGCCTTCGAGTAAAAAGCAGGACTCGATCAGTCATCGCTGAAAACGTCAGCGACTAGTACGATGCGTTCATTTAAAAAGTCCGTGTCTTTTTCAGCAAGACCATCATGCTGGTAGCTTTGGAGACCAAACGAGGCTGTTGCCAGATGTGGAACAAAGCAAAAGCGCAAATGAATGCACGCCTAAGAAAGAATCTACTCAGATAATGCATTACGCTTGTTGGAATTAGCTCATTAATGCTAAAGGGTCGCATGCGAAGCTGACCGACTGAGACTTTGCACCGAAAACAGAGGCACGCAGTAAACATCTCACCTCTTTGGTGTTGACGATGCCTCTGACGTATTTTCCCAACACAGATCCAACGCATAAAACGCTCGACACCACGGCAAATCCTAAAACTCTGTCCATTTTCTGACCTACGCTCGCTGCGAGCTGCTCCCCTTTCCTCTGTGTGAGTGTGCAGGTAACCTTAGGGACGGGGCGATAGATCTGGCTCGCGCGGAGACAGCGTGCGCGCTCCCGTCAGCAGCCCTGCTGATGCATGTGTGACCAGAGCGCGCTTTCGCACGGGTTGGGGGGAGAAAAGGGGGACGCCGCTGCAAGGCTGCAAGAAATGCACTGAAAATCGGGCTGCGATTGCACCTGCTAAACGTGGCTTGATTGGAATTTGAATTCAAGCTGCTGTAAGTCACCATCTGCAGCCTAATTCGAAGAGAGATCAGTCTCAGCTCACACTACCATAGTGTATACTAATTTTCTGTAGGCCTTGGCTTTTTTTATGTCTAACCCACCACAGCATTGTTGCTAACAAAAGCTCACCATCTGACCATATAATCAATCAATCAAAGGTCCAGTGATGTTAATGACCCTAGGCACTTACGTTTGTAGTTAGAAGACAGCAAAGGTTTACTGCTGGCCAGCCTTTCAGATAGTTTGATGGCATGTAAATGGTGTCTAAACATACTGACATCCTAGTTGGATCGTCCAAAAGAACAATCCACACAAATTCTATACAAAATGGTTCACTGACCATAAAACTTAGCTTTTGCAGTGGTCATCCCTCGTCCTCTGACCAAAAGCCTACTGAAAACCTGTAATGCCCAAGAAACCATGGAATGAATGGAGTACATAATGATCGTGACAAAAGATAGGTGCAAATCTTTGGGCTGAATTTTTATGGGATGGACCACTCTTTACAGACTCTCACTTATCTGGAATGGATAATATCCGTTTGTGAATCTGTTGTTCTTCTAATGAACTCACTTAAAACTGAATTTGTACTCAGTTTATGGCATAATAAGGCCTGAGGTGCACTAACATTTAGTTTAGGTTTATTATTCGAAACAATACTGCAAAAACCAACCAATGACATACAGCACTACCGCCAGACAGCACTAACTAATAGTGGCACATAAAAGGATACATTCTCTGCAAAGAACTGTCAAACATAATTACCGTTTACACGCAAGTGTTTTCATGCTAATGTGATTTGTTTTGAAATGCAAAACATCCCCTCCTTTATTAATTTTACTAACAACTGTTGGTTGTCACAACAATACAAAAATAAAATAGACAGGGCAGGACAGGAAAGGACAGAGGCACATAAAATGAGGTTAAAATGATTAACTTTATTCCAATAGCAATAAACACAGGGAAAATATAATGATCAAATGAACGGAAACAGCGAGTACTTTGGATATATCAGTAATAGATTTGAACTGCATTTTGAACCTGGCTACTAGAGTTCTTTTTTTGCTGTTGTCGCAATTAGGAAAGGATGTATTATGTTCAAGTTGGTAGCTGCCATAGATGACAGTGAATCATTTGGGTTTTATACGTACTTCCAAAGGAAGAAAGTAAATACAAATAATCTCTCTGCATGGCTAGAACTGAGTCAAGGTCAGTACTCATATTTAAAAACATATTATGAGAACAGGATTTGTACTAAATAGAACAGACTCTGAATTTTTTACAAATAGATTGCTAATACAAACATCAGTTTTATTAAGCAGTTTTAGTTCAGGTTAGCTCAGAGAGCACTGAACTAGGGTTTGCGACCATGTTTTGAACATCATGAATTTGCCATCATGGTTTTTGACCTTTCTCCATACATACAGTACTGTGCAAAAGACAGAGACCACCCTTTATTTGCCCAATTTCCTGTCAAGATGGCCATTAGATAAAAGTTATTCATTTTTAAGAATCAGGAAAAAAGCCAAAAACACTTAAAAGAAAATTAGACAGAGGTAGAATATCTCAGAATATAACTTGTACTTGATGCCTGTTTTGACTGGAAATTAAATAAATGAAGGGTGGTCTCTTACTTTTGCACATTACTGCACATTAAAAGCTTTGAGGTATTGCTATTTCTACTACTTTTCACAGCAAAACTCAAAAAAAGCACCAATTTAAAAAATAAAAATAATACTTCAATCATTCCTGGATAAAACTTGCATGATTTAAATCATTATATAATCTTTAAAAGTAAAATACTGTCTAAACACAAAATCATTTTATGCATACACACACAGTTTACATAGATTTGCACTTATGGTGTTTTTAACAGAGGAAAAAAACATCTAAAATTCTTAAATACAAGTTTCAGTTCATTAAAGAGCTTGTGAGGAGATACACCAATGCATTCCTAGCCATAAAGTGCTTGTCTTCTGACATGGAATAATAAGCAAGGAACATCCTAATGATTGTGACTGAGCGACTGTGCAAAGTTTGATTGGCAGTATTAAACGCACAAATGCACACATAGTACGAAGAAACAAAAGATGGGTTACTGTGCAAGACTTATGATCTATTCATTTCAAGAACATCTAAGACCACAATTCATCCATAATGACTTGCCCCATTCCAGACAAAGGACTTTATGAGAATACTAGTTTAGTGAATTTGTACAAATTCACTTTGGGGTAGTCATCTGATTGAAAGACCACCTCAGGAACTGGTTGATTTGCACATGAAAAAGGAGCATTAATAGAGTTGATGAGGAATGTAGTGAGAAATGCTGTCTAAACACACTTTTTACAGGGGAAAAAATACAAGGGCATGGTCTGTCTTTGAGGATGGGGGGACAGAAAGAAGAGAGAAAATAGCTTTTATGTACAACATGCTGGTCTTATATGGAGTGGTATTACCAAGTCTCTGTCTTGAGGTCACTACAAAAAATTCCTTACTGGGTTTTGCCCTCTGGGAGACTGAACTCTCTAAGTATATTGCTTTAAAGGAATTTAGCAGCTGTCCACACAAATTGCCTACACAGCTAGTTGTACATGTTGGCATGAGGTAGCAATGTCTTGCCTAATAGTACACAGAATTTCCAGTAGTGGAAACGCTTGTAAAGCCAAGCTTTAAACCTTTGAGTAAGCATTTTGGAAAATAGCACAAATATGATTTCATCAGCAACATAGTCTTGCTTCCAGTTCTGCAAGGCTTCACTGTGCAACTGAACAGAGTGACACTGTTTTTGAAACACCGATAGAAAAGTGATGACCTGATTCTAGGCACTCCTACTGACATACAGAGGAAGAGTGCTGGGACTTGTGCTAGTTGAAACAGCTCACTGGTTCAAGGTTGTTGAGGGATTTGGCTTAAAATATCTCCTGCATGAGATGGGTGCTAGAAATGGGTCAGTGTGCAGGGGGTCTTAAGAGATGCCTAGGAAAACATGGCGCAAGACAGGGCAGCAAAAAAAAACAAAAAACAAAAAAAAACAAGAAGAATGAGAAAGAGAAAGTGCTATATGCTCAAATTGGCAGTGCATGGTCTACAGTGTGGGTAGACTAGGCACAGTGGCTAACACTAAACCAAACATAGTTTCGCACCTTTGCTATAAGATCTGATGAGCATTATGTAATTCAGTGGACGTTCTGCAGGTGAAGCAGCATTTGCAAGACTTTCTCTAATGAACAATTACGAAAACACAACTAAGCAACGAATAAACCCCTTAAATCTTTAAAATCACCACCGTGGATGGCTGCCTCGGTTGTACGCTTGTGAGACGTACTGAAAACCAGAATAATATTCTTTGTGCTTAAACTACGCACTTGGCTAATAAATCAACTGATGGATTAACTGATTGATCTATTTATTAAATCCATTTTGTGAATTCTTATGCATAAAGCAATTGTAAATGTTTACCTTTCTCAATATCATCAAGATTTTCAGCAGAACTACCACCCTCAAAAACGCTGATAAAAGAAACAACAGAGAGCTAGGACTTATAAATCACAGTTTGATATTTGATTTGGCTGACTTATTAAAAATAAATTATGAAATTAGCAGGAAGGTTGGAAATGACCTTCAAGCAATGCATTGACAGAATTAGAGTAAAGCAAATTCAGACCTATAGAAGGCAGGAAGCATCTCTTTCTGTGCTGGTGACTGTAGTTGCTTCATAAGCTCAGTATTTCAGCCAAGCGAAGCAGTAACAAAAAGGCAAAGTGGCGTTATTTTTTTTATATAAAAGCATGAGTGTATGTGCATGTGCGCTTGTGTTAAAACTTTCTGTAGTCATTTTGAGCACAAAAATAATGCAGCAGTGGGGAAAGTGGAGCTCATTGTATACCTAAAATATCTCCTTCCTTCTCTCCTTCCATCCACTTAGTGGTGCCTCACTAAAGTATAAACAGAATGAACTGCTTTCATGAGACATTACTGCATTTGACTCCTCATTAATTATCTGTATTGTTGCATAGTGATTCCAGTTTTTCATTCTCCTTATCAAAACAGACCTATCTTTCTCTTGGTTTCTCTATTCATTTAATTTTCTTACACTAAAAAGCTCTTCAAACTATGGCCCCTCCCCCATCTTTGCTAGTGGTCCGCTGAAAGAGCTTGGATGAGGCTCCCTTGGCAGCCGAAGCCCCATGATTGGTCCTTTCAAGCTTGCGATGTTTACGCATCTCTGGAGGCGGGTCTTTCATGGTGAAGACCTCTTTGATGCGTTCCATGCAGACATTGGAGGCCTCACGGGTCTCCTTGGAGAGCTGGGACAGGCTAAGGAACCCGTGTGGGAGGTCATCCACCACACACAGTGTCACAGGCTGCTCAACGTACCGCAGTCGTTTGGCAAACATAACAGAGTCGTCTAGCATGGGATCCAGAGCACAGGCCTAAGGAAAGGCGCAGAGGAAAGAAGGCATTAATTAATGAGGCTGGTAGGAATTTTATGCTGAATTCAGCAAGTAAAGCATTTTTCACATATCCAATGCATATTAGACCTTTTCCTTGAATGCTAGCCTCAACATTTTCTCATTAAAGTTCCACATACTCTGAGTGAAGGTAGCTGGTTTCAGTAGATCAGAGAAAGTCAAGGTAAATCTATATTGCAGATAACTGAGTCAACTGAGGTCACTCAAGTTTGCATTCATATCTTAACAGAATTTCATCGACTTAAAAGTGAACTGTCATCCTTGTTTAGCATTCTAATGAGGATAGCAAAATACAAAGCAAATACTAACAAACTCACGGTATATTCAGCACGGCATGGTGAATCTAATGTTGGTATATAATTTCATCATAGTTTCGTAGTATTGGGATGACCCCAATACCCAGTTCTGAATGAGAATGGGTTACAAAAGAGTAAAAACTGGAGGAATATCCATAAGAGCTCATGAACGGATATCCAGAGAATGAAAAAACAATACCAAAAAAGAAAAGATGGATTTTGGCTAAAATTAATGTAGAGCTGTGGTTTACATTTTTAGGTGACAGTGATGGTGTTGCACAAAAAATATGCATCACACAGAGGTAGCTTTATTATTCAAAAATAGCCAAAGAAAGAGGGCAGGTCTTCTTGTCAGGTGAACAACATCTGGATGAGTAGCATTAGCTTAGATCAGAGGTAAACGAGGTAAAACTACACCTAACTGGTACAACAATGGATGCTAATGGAGACTCCCTGGTCACTCAGAACAGGAAAAAAAAAAAAAACAGCCCAAAACTGCACACAATTTAACTCTGGCCATCTAAACTTGTAACACACTCTCAACCAACAGCTGGTGAGGGAAGCGATTTGGCTCACTGTAATGAAAACGCAGCATAATCGTAAACAAATCATGACTACTCCAGATTTTAAAAATATATTTATAAATCACAAAGTAATAATATAGCTTCACCCTAAAACAAGTACTCATAGCTCTTTATACCATACTATGTAAAACTATATATATTTTAACTATTTCCAGCAGTGAAACAATCCTGAAATCTAAAGGGACTCGTGCAGCCCTTCTCAGCCCCCTTAAAATACTCTGATGAAAGACAATTTTGTGACATGTAACAATAAAGCTATGCTGGTTCTGTCCTTAATGACTTCTTTTTTTCAGAGAACCAATAATAGTACTGATAAAGAACTGAATCAATAAGAAACATCTGTAAGACTAGTTTTAATAAAATTCTAACAATACCCATCCTTGATCATGGTAGTCTAAAGCACTCTAAAAGCTATACATTAGAGGCTTTTTTGTCACAACCACATTTAGACTCCTGAGCATGGAAAGCAAACTTGTGTATAAATGAATAACAGCCAAAACCAAATAGTTTTATAGTGTTAACATACATGACGACATTTAGGCTTGAACACTTTCTAAATGTGTTTGAATGTTGATTTTTTCATTAAGTCACCTTGGTGTCTTCTGAAAGTGGGCCATTTGGCTCATGTCTCCAGTCTCTCAAACTTAAAATAGAATCCCATCAGTGCTGATTCGGTGCCCCAGCCTTAGGCAATTGATGAACACATGGGATGTCTTCAAAATCCCACCCAATGACATTTTTCTATGCACATCATTTTAAAATAGCTCAAATAGCTGTTTGGGAAACCACCCAATCTGGCAATAATTGACAGTCTCTTACCACTATGTGTATAGGAGGAAGTCCTATTAGCATGTTGTCTGGAGCCAGAAGCGGAGACATGTAAGGGTTTCTGAAGATGGGGGAAGAGTCCACCTTCATCTCAGCAAGCTGCTCAGAGCGCAGAGGCTCAAAGCCCTCAGGAAACTCTCTTGGGTTTTCAGAGTCTTCCTCTCCTTCTGGGGGAGGTACAGCTACGGCGGAGATCGAACTTGACACAGAGGGATCTACTTCGTTGGATAGGAAGAAGCTGACATCCTCTGGCTGGAAAAAAAAACGAAAAGAGAATTGTTTAATAAAAATTAATTAGCATTCTGATGGTTAAGTGTTTTTTTAAATAACATTTTAAATAAATATTTTTTAAACAAAAGCCAAATTTATTATCAATCAATGATTTCTTTCTTTGAGTTTAATTGAGTTATATAAATAAAGGAAATCAGCAAATAGCAAAGCAATATTTCTAACCCATGCATTTAAGCAACATGGAGAACAAATGAACATCTATACGATCAAGAAACATTCCTTAATTTAGCCACTTGAACTCTCTCTCTCCCTGCTGGACTCAACCCTCAAGTCTTTGAATCTGTGCTAAGAAAAACACTGCTTGGACTTTGAAGCAACTGGCATCCCGTCAGCAAAGACAAAAAAAAAGTAAATAATGACAAAGTATTCTTTATTATGATAACCCCCAAAAAGAATTGTTCAGATGTCACACAGTGGAAAAATATTCAAGCATACTGACAGTAACTCTCCATGCAGAAGTAAGTATGGCTCCATGTGTACCTTGCTCTCAGGGAGTGATGTGGTATTGAGGATGGGATTATGGTGGTCAGTGAGGGTGGTGGTGTGGGTGCTAGCAGGGTTGGCTTTATTGTGGCTGCTGCTGGTGGATGTGCCCTCGGTGTGGGTGGTCAGGTTCTGACAAGTTTGACTTTTCAGGGACTCTCTCACCCCTGAGAAGTCAGACGATGCCACTGGAACCGAAGGGTCGGAGTGTGGAGAAGTCAGAGTGCCGTCAGAGACACTCTTCCTCACTGTATCTGGGGAAAAAAAGGTGGAGAACAGAAAAAGAAGAAGAGAGGATGAGTTTATTAGTATTATCATAAAATCATAAAATTAAAATATCATATTGTGATTATAATGCAGCATACCGCAATGGCTATACACAATATGCAGCATACTGGTGAACCTTTGATGTGCCATTATTTAAAGGAATAGTTTGGCGAAAAATGAAATTAACATAATTTATCAGTAACCTAGGTCAGGGGTGCACAACTCTGGTCCTGGAGGTCCAGTGTCCAGCAGTTTGGTAGTGTCTCTACTTAAACACACCCATTAAACCTGACAATTAACAACTCAGTTGATTCAGGTGTGTTTGAGCAGAAAAATCACCAAACTGTGCTGGAGTTGTGCACTCTTACCCTAGATGCAATCGATTAGCTAAGACTTGTTCGGTAGCCAAAGTTTGCTTCTTTAGTTTACAATAGGAAATGGAAGGCTAACAAAGATTGGTGATCGTTTAAGTCCAATCTCATCTTTGTAAATACATGCCCAAAAATGTCTCTCAACCTACCCAAACACAACCAGATCTTTATTTCTTTCTCGCAGACATATCAATGTAGTTTCAAAGATGTCATATATAAAAACAAAAATATATAAACTTCTCTGCAGAGATGAATGGTGTGGCAGCCATTTTGAGTAACTGGAACCACTTTTACCTCAACACACTATGTGGTATCATTCCAGAAAAAAAAATTGACAAAAAAAATTGACATACAGGGCTGCAGAAGGAGGGGCCAGCATTATACCTACTAAAATTACTACAAAAATATAAACAAAAAATGATTTGGGAATTTACAGTTTGTTAGTATGTTCTGTGTTTGTTAGTGTTTACAAGTGAGGCCATACAATGCAGAAATGCAATGGTGTGGGCCCAAAACCCTACTGGCCCAGTGGACTCTGATTACAATGCACTGAGAGAGAACATGTCCAAATTTCAGGTCAACAAGTCTCAGAAGAGGATTATTCAATACCTGCGACTAATCAGGGAGTGTCTCTGCTGTGGGGAATTGGAGCTATTGATGCCAGCACTTAAGCAAACTGGCACTGAAGATTTTCACCTCTTATAAATACTGCTGCTCTGGGGTTTTAGGAGTTTTCCATATTCCTAAGAAAAACTGAAGGAAGCACCTGATCACTGCTAGACCAAATAACATGTTATGAAGCCTTAGCTATGCTAACAAAAAAATATATCTGTGTAGATGTTTTGACGTACAACACGCCCCTTGCAGTGCAGTTTGAAGTGGAACAGTACTGCAAAGCATTTGCAACTGACGATGCAGTTCTAATTTTAGCTTAAATGTTTAAATGAAGTCTAACCATTGTACTAAACTGGATTTTAAGCTTGTTTACGTAGCTTTTAAATTGTGAAGCAAATAAATTAAGATTTTGGCATGTAATTACTGAGATGAGATTGATGACAGTCTAAGATCAGTGTTTGTTAGCAATATTAGCCTAGCATCTCCTGTTGTAAACTACAGAAGCACCCAACAGCTATCAAACATGTCTTGGCTGATCAAAGGCATCTGGGGTAAAGCGATAAATCATGTCAATTAGATTTCTCACCAAATTATTCTTTTAAGACTGACCTGCATTATTTTGTACAAAATTATCTACATTTGTCGGATCACATTAATACCTTTGGTTATCAAAATTGCCATCGAAATGAATCTAAAATGCTCCCCACTACAATGAAAATTTATGAGGGCTCATTTGCACGTTGTTTCCTTTTTTGATATCAGTATCACAAAGGGCAATATGACGATAACAATTAAAACAATGTATTATTTGGCTCTAGCTATTGTTCTAATACATGTAATGTAAAAGTCACAAAGACTGAAGGTGGGTACTGTAAGAAGACTATTCAAAGGGACCAAGACTAATCCATTTAGGAAATTACACAGAATATCAATGTGGTATTGATAAAGTTTGTTCATCCTCACATGATGCACCTATGAAGCTGGCTTTGCAATGCAAAATCTACTGCGCATTATTTGGTGTGCCAACACACCTCAGATTCATCTGCAAGGCCAGTGGTGAGATTAAACAGGCTAATCCACTCTATGAAAGCCATCTGTGGATTTGATATTTTGTAAAGCTCAGTGAGGACTGTAGAGGGCCTCCAAGGCACACTGTTGTCTTCTACACATGACCAAAGTTCACAATGATTAGCTTTTGCTAAGCCTGCTTATTCAGTGGTGATCAAGGTGCCTTGCAGAGACTGTGCCACAGTAAATGCTCCTAAACCCATGTCTTCAAGACCATGGTGAAAAAAAAATGATTTCATAAGGTTCCATTCATTTTGGATTACAACAAAGTTTGCATCAGTGTTTTTACACTGTAATTGTAATTACTTTATTAGTAATATTTAATAGTTCATGCAAGCCTGTCTTTTGTTGTTCTTGTTATTTTGTTGCCATTGTTGTTGTAATGACAATATTATTAAGATGACAGTCCATTATATCGATCTTTTCTAGGGATCAATAAAGTAGGAGGATTATCATCACCATAAACGTATTGCACAGTAAGTAAGAAATGAGAATAATAATAATAATAGAATATTATCCACAATCTTTACAAGTAAGGCGCATTTTCAGAAGGTAATAAGGTGGTTTAAACTGCAGTGTTCAATTGTTTTAAGAGAAAGCTTAAAATGTGTCATATCTGCATGAACTAAATGCACTCCTGTAATAGTTTTCACCTGTGACTCATGATCGATTATTTATCGACTCAGACTAGATCGGGGGGCAAAAAAAACAAAACAAAAAAAATAAATAAATTAACAACCATGATTTGGAATATCCCTAATTAAATTGGTAGATGATGTCAAACCACCATGTTCAAAACTGAGCCACCTTGTATATTAAACTAATCCAGAATATTCCCCCAACAAAAATATTCAGCCAAAAGCAGTCTTGTGTTATTTAAACTGACCGAAGATGAAGGACTTGAGGACAGCAGAACTGATAAAGTCAAACACACTGGAAAAGACAGTGTGACAGTGACTGTATGTATTATCATGCAGTGGAAATGTTATTTTTGATGTGCTGATGCCTTAAAAAGGTATTAAAAATCACAAGGAGTTGCAGTGCAAAACCAGGGCGGGAGTGGGACTGGTTGCTTGATGCACACAAACCGACCTCAACTTGTAACTGTATTTTAACAAAAGTATTTTTACTTTATGCTGATGTTGTGTATCCTCACATGACTCATGTATGAAGTTGGCTGTGCAATGTAAAAACTCTTGCGCACTACAGAATGCTATCTCCTGTGCCAACAAACCTCAGATTCATCTGGAGGGCCGGCACTGAGTTTAAATAGCCTAATCCACTCTAAGAAAGCCATTTATTGACATACAGGGCTGCAGAAGAAGGGGCCAGCATTATACCTACTAAAATTACTACAAAAATATAAACAAAAAATTGATTTGGGAATTTACAGTTTGTTAGTATGTTCTGTGTTTGTTAGTGTTTACAAGTGAGGCCATACAATGCAGAAATGCAATGGCGTGGGCCCAAAACCCTACTGGCTCAGCAGACTCATGCAATGCACTGAGAGAGAACATGTCCACAATTCAGGTCAACAAGTCTCAAAAGACGATCATTCACTGAATCACTGAACAGCTGCTGAGTCATTTGGTGATCGTGCTCGGAGAAAAGGGATTATGTGGGGCCACTGGAAAATAGCCTTGGAGACACACATGGCGTTCCAAATTTTATCTTTTTGAAGTGGAATCTCACCATTTTTTTTTTCTAAATTTGAGCATAATTAAAAGGTTAAGACATAAACAAAGTCATGCAGAGTGGTCTGATGTCAGAACTGTTCACAGTGGTACAGTGGTAGTGACAGGAAAAGACATAAAGAGTTTAATGCCTCCAAAAGCTCCTTCACAGAAAGTTATTAGGTGAAATGGTGATAAATATGCTGCAGCATGACTGAGACATTGTATTATGATATTTCAGACTACAATGTATTTTTGAAATTCATATATGGTAGAGAGGTACGTGCCGGGCATTGTGAGGCAAAATAGTGCCCAATCAACACTGCATACAAATAGAAAGAAACAAACAAGTACATTCACTGACGGTTTAGGATAGTAAATAAAACGGCTGCATGTGTGTTGTAGACATCACAACTCCTGGTAGAAATTACATTAGTGCAGGCACTCAGGCCCTGTCAGTTGGACTAGACTTGATTCCAAATTAAGAGTATCTTATGGAAGTATCTTGTGGAATTCATGATAGAAAGGACAAAGTTTAGTAACTTTAAACTGATTAATCTATCATTGCTAACATGACACAAACCTAGCAAGTCATCTTAGATATAGTTCTAATTTCTGGCTTGCAAGAACAGATCAGTTTCTGTGTGGAATGTCAGTCTTTGCTGATATAATGTGGTGGTCCTGTTTGTTTCTGATAAGAAAGCTTTAACTGAAGACGTGGTTGCCTTTTTGAATATGTCCCCAGATGCTGACAGCGGCTTGCCACTCTAAAGACTGGCGCTTATAGTCTGAACACAACACAATGTCAGCTTCTTCAGAAAATACATACAATGAAACTGTCTGTTGGAGTTCACTCAGACTTGAGCTCTAGTTGCACACCATCCAAGCTGGGTCCACAGAAGAATCTGCCCCTGCTATTTTCAGTGATATGTGAAAGGTCACAAAACTGCATAGATAGCCAGTATGTTTTTAATTTGACCATGGACCAAAATACTTTAATGATTAGTCCATCATCACTTCTCACTTGAACTCCTGTTACTATCCATATTTAGGCTGACGACTGCAGATCCCCGCATGAACTTTATCTGCCCTGTTAGCTATGAAAACATGAATCAACATGTTTTCAGTTCTATCACTTATTATTGTGAACTCAAATACTAGTCCACCAGACCTAACAGCTCTAACCGTCTTTTTCTGCTATTATATATATTTCTAACGTTAGTTATCGGTAGTCTCATGAATCTGCCCTCTGTTTGATTCTGATGCTTTAGTGTTTAGGTTCATTACTTAATCATAAGTCTAATAATTCTCATTTGTTTATTGTTTTTTTGGGAATGAGTTCCCCTTTTGAGAATTAGTTTTCCTAAATGTTTCTCCTCATGCCCTCAGGGAGTTTTCCAGCCACTGCTGCCCCTCAGTTTGTTCCTTAAGGGCTTGGACCCAGATTTCTGTAAAGCTGCTTTGTGACAATGTGCACTGTAAAAAGTGCCATACAAATATATCTGAACCGAATCTGAAGAGAACAGGTTCAAGGTTCAGCAGCAAATGCCACAGAAGCATTTTTGACAGTAAACAGGTCACGAAATACTTTTGCATATAAAACACATGCATTTATATATATTCTGCATTGGAATTTTCCTTTACTGCAAGCTAAAATGCACACATTTAATGTGCTATATTTCACTGGGAATCAAACCATATACCTGCATTTGCTCTGTTGGGGTCCAGAAGAGAGTGGATCCAGTTGGAGGCTCCTTGTCTAAAGTCTCTTAAGAGCAGGGCAGTGTCTCTTTTTACCATGCTCAGAGTGCTGACCTTCTCTACCTGCTTCTCCACCTGCAAGTCCATACCTATGCCAGCAACAATGGAGGGAAGAGTGTGAATCAGAAGAAAAGGGGATGAAAAACATATGAAGAAAGTCATACAGCCTGACCATAAGGGGTGCAACATATACTAAGATCAGATTCTATTCACAATAAATTCATGAAATAATTTATTCTAGATCAGGAATAATCTAAACTATAATTGTGTTGTTGCACAACTTAATGAAGACACAAGGGCTGGGAGGCAGGAAGAGTGTTGGAGGAGTGAGCTGATTGGTGTTGATTGCAATGTCACGATGCACTGTTAGACCCATGCTGACCGCTAAATATCTGTTGATTATTTCATGCAGTGTTAAATACAGACACAATGTATAATAATAATAAAACAAATGATCAATAATTACTTCCCAATTATGTTCATTTTAATTATGTTATTTGAAGACACAATACATAATGATTATGTTTTTTAAAGTTAAGGCACAACTAATGGACAATTTCGTGCGGAAAGTTCTGGCGTCACCCAGCCCGTAATTATATGGAAAAATATATATTTCTGTCTCTGACCTGCATAAGCACTGAGGCAGCGGGACAGCACGCTAAGAGGCAAAAGAGGATCCATAAGGCTGAGCAGACGAGATGGAGAGGCATAGGCGGTGAGCAAGGTGGCAGGATAGGCGGCCATAATACCATCCGGCAAGCGCACTCCATGGGCCACAGCCCTCATTGACACGGTCACACATAGGTTACCTCCTGCACTATCACCAGCCAAGCACACACGCTCACCAGTCCAACCTGAAAATGTGAGAAAGATGGAGAAAGAAGAAAAAGAGCAGATGGACAAAGAAACATGGATTACATTTCTTAAAACATCTTTCAATTACATTAACTATTTGAACCAAAATTTCATGAAAACTCTTTTCTTATTCTATTCTACTCTACTCTTATTGTGAAGTGAAACAAATATTGATTTACACAGAATGGAATTAAGGAAGAGTTGTGACTGTGTGGAACATCTGACGCTATTAAATTAAGAAGCAAAAATACTGGGACCATGGAAATTAGTTATTTTTGTTATATAGGCATATACAATAAGTTACCAGACCCTGGTTAAATTACATGCTTTATAAATGTTCTAAGTGAAAATAAGTACTCTGTACTTTTTAAATACACAATTACTGTTTATTTGCTGAATTTGATATATTTGAAGAAAATATAACAAAAATATGGCCTGTGCTAAGGAAATAAATATAAATAGAAATTTAAGTTTGTTCCTTTTATAGCAAATCACAGTGGCTTATCTTTGTGACTACAGACTAGTTGCACTGTCTACAATTGCAGTGAAGGGCTTTGAAAGACTCATTTTGGCCCATATTTTGCATATCTTAGAGTCGATGTGTTTATAATTACAGGAACATGGAACACTTGAGCAGGCAAAATAACCTGTTATTTATTTGTCCCAAAACATATGCTCAGATTTCACACAATGACAAATGACAAAAACAATATGGTTCATCTTGTATGGAAAACATCACCCAGAAACAAAATGCTGACAATCTATGCTTTAGTCACAGGCTATTTTTTTTTTTATATAGAATACAGATTTTATAACCCATTTCATCTCAATGTCTTAGTATTTTTACTTCTTTACTTTGCTTACAGATCATTTATAATTTTCCATCTGTGTTTTGAATGTTTGCTTGGTGATTCTAATAAAATATTATAATTATTTCTGTTTTAAACAGAATTAGATATTGGTAGGATGATTCTCTGTGTATTTATTGTTATGTGTTTCCATTCACATATACTACGACAGGGGTCGGCACATGCGGCTCTTTAACAGTCCTGTTGCAGCTCCACAGCAGAATTAAATTTTTAGGTTTAGACGGACATTGATAATTTGGTGATGAATTGACTTATTTGCATTTAGAAGCACTCCCGCTGCTTTCCTGATATGTTTAATCTGGAACGAGAAACTGTCAAACACTAAAAACACTGTGAAGCTGAAATCAGATTCTCATTCGCCGGCTTTTTGTTCAAATTCTCCCATTCCACCTTAAATGGTGTAGCAGTTACATTTTGGTTGCTCAGGCACCTTTTAAGGTGGAACAGATAAATTGGAGCATAAAGCTGGCGAATGAGGAGCTGACTTCAGCTTCGTAAAAAGTCATACATTAAGAGACTTTTTACAAGTAACTATTCTACTTTTGTTTCCTATCGGAGATGTGAGAAAACCCTGACTTTGTATTAAACCTTAAAGCAGAGCAAAGTAATCTGCGTTTTATTATATTTTTAGCCTATACTAGTATATGAGCACATACTGAGACATATTTACAGCCAAGATGGTAAAATGAATATAAAAAGTTCAGAGGACAAAATGGCTCTTCTTAATATTTGGGATGCTGACCCCTGTATTAGTAATTTTCATGATTGTTATAACACTCCAAAACATGTAGTAAATCCTGTAGTAAATTTTGTTAACAGAGCTCAGCTTTACTTACCCAGAAGGTTGTGGTTCTTAATGGCCCAGCAGTAGGCATAGAAACATTCCTCCAGAGCCCTTGGGAACGGGGCCTCTGGGGCAAGAGAGTAATCTACAGACAGGACTGGAGCATTCAGGTCCTGAGACCAGCTCTTCAGATAGGGCTAGGAGGGGTGGGAAACCACAGTCAGCATGGGAAGACTAATTAATTACTTGCTTTATTTCACACTAAAAGAATCATATTGCGTTTTAAGGTTTCTCAATCGCATGTAAATTTACTCTTCACAGCTCACAGTTGTGGCAGCCTTGCTGCATGGGAATTATAAAGAAACTACCAGGAGATATTTTTTCCTTTTATCGTAGAAAACAATCTGCTTCTTTTATTGTAACATTTCATTGTATTTTATTGTAGTATAATCTCTTCTGAATTAATTTCAAATTTTGAAATTATTTGATTACCTGCTACTTTTGCTTTTAAGTGTCTTATTAAGTCTTATCATCATCATCATCATCATCATCATCATCAGCAGCAGCAGCCTGTAAGTACTTTACTATGCACAATCTGTGTAGAAGGCCCTATATAAATCAATGCTATTTCTAGATTACCCTTTTGGTCTAAGCTTTAGCTTTCTTTACATAATAAAACAAATAAACCTGCTTGAAAATATAGGCCACATGCTCCACAGATTTCTCCGAGAGCACACTAAGGCCTGTATCTGCGTGGTGGAGTGATTAAATCAAGCTCATCCATTATCCTCTGCCTGGATCAATGAGTCATTGAGAAAAGCAACATCAGTTCATGCCCTGAGACAGTAATTACTTCTTCTGTCTACTGCGTGGTATAGAATGATACTCAGCCAGAGCAGTGCAGAGTAGTTATATATATAGATAGATAGATAGGACAGCCGGTATAATTTGGATGGTGGATCATTCTCAGCATTTCATTAGTTAGTGTGTACTGCGCTGGTATGAGTGGATCAGACACAGCAGCGCTGTTGAAGTGTTTAAACACTGTGTCCACTCACTGTCCACTATATTAAAACGCACTTACATTGTTGGTCTACCTTGTAGATGTAAAGTGAGACACAAAAGCTCATCTGTTTCTGCACAGTTTGTTAGGTACCCTCTAGCTCTTCATCAGTGGTCACAGGACGCTGCCCACAGGAAACTGTTGGCTGGATCTTTTTGGTTGGTGGACAGTCCAGCAGTGACACTGAGGTGTTTATAAACTCCAGCAGCACTGCTGTGTCTGATCCACTCGTACCAGCACAACATATACTAACATGCCACCACCACGTCAGTGTCACTGTAGTGCTGAGAATGATCCACCACCCAAATAATACCTGCTCTGTGGTGGTCCTGTGAGGGTCCCATTATAGAACAGGGTGAAAGGGAGCTAACAAAATATGCAGGAAAACAGGTGGTCTAAGTGCACCTATATGATATGTGGAGCTGATAAAGAATTATTGCAGAAAAAAGGCACAGACAGAGACAGACAGACAGACAGACTGAAAGATTGTACCTCATGTGATTTGGAAGTCTGTGCTACAAAGCCTCCTCCATGGTAGTGTACCACGAGCCAAGGCGATGGGGGGCTCCTCTTAGGCTTCAGACCCAGAGAGAGAGAGATAGGACCACCCTCAGAACGAGCCATTGCCAACAATTTCTCACTGTCCTGGTGAGAAAATAACAAGTACAACAATAACAACAACTGTATCAAAGTACAGCATCCATCGAAAAAACTCATCCAGTTTTTTGTCTCCCAATCCGATTAAAGCAGCTTAAAATGTTGAGTAAAAGCCAATACTGATTTGTTTCGATACACATTTTAGGTTATGCTACTCTGCTATTTAACACCTCTGTAAAAATCACATTCTTTTCTACTATGTGCATAATGCCACAATCTGAAATGTTAAGTTTTGTTTTTGGACTGTGTCTTTCAAAACGACAATTTTATAGTATGTTTAACATTTATTATGATTCAGTTTGATATCATATCACTGCAACACGCATGTTCTCCTTTCTCTCTCATGCATCCTTTCTCTTGGTTTTCAATGCAGTGTTTTAAGTCGCATAAAAGCAATAGTTTTGTTTTTAACCAGTTATGAGAGTGAAACACATTGCTGAAACAGGTGTGAAGTACATTACCTGTCCTTCCCTCAGTTCGTTAGAGATGAGTCTCATCTGGACTGGGCCAGGGCCAATATGGGCAACTGGAGGGGAGATTGTGACTGTGTGTGTTGGATCAGCTGCCAGCGGGAGGTCAAAGGACACAGGTGGCACAGAGAGGGCACGATTCACCTTCACTTGAGCAGATGTCATACTGGCCAAACCCTGAAAGAGAGAGTTGACTGAGTGCCCATCACTGGGACAAGAGAGCGCAGTTTTTTTTTTTGCATGGTGTGCTGAACCAAAAAGCCACCAAGAAAATCAATACATAATTTAAGTAGAGACATGTAGATATTAAGATTTAAAATCCAAGTTTATTTTGAGGACATGTTGACACAATTTTATATGCAAAACGTGGTAAATGTTTATACTGACTGCAAGAACTTCAGTTTCAGTAACGTTCCAGAATGTCTTCCAGAAATGAACGTCCAAGTTCTGAGTGATGCGCTCATACTCCTGACCCCTCAGCTCCGGATCAATGGCAAACTTTCCAGAGGTGAAAAAAGAACTAGCAGCAACACCTGAGAGTTGACAAAGTGAAATGACAGGAGAAACAGCATGAATTACTATTCTAATATGATATAACAGAATTCTATAAGCATATCCATAAAACATAGTGATGGAAAGACAAGTTATTATAACACAGGGTGATTCAAAAAGATTCATCCAATTTCAAAATGATTTATTTCACTTGCAAATCATTACAGAACAATGCAGTAAACTGTAAATGGTTTAAGTGAGCAAAAAGTTTATTATGTAATTTTACAAGTGCTCAATATGACCTCCTCCAGCTGTACAGACAACATCAATGTGATAGTCAAATTCATCCCATGCTCTATTGAGCATGTCGAGTGTCGCTGTACCCACGGCTTTTTCAATGTGATTTCAGAGATCATCCAGTGTTGTGGAACCAACAACGAACGCTCTGAGCTGTTGGAGGTTCACTGCTGACAAAAATCACGCTGCACAGTTACAACTGGTTCACTTTAATTGAAGTGGAGAACGCAAAATGCTTTCTGCTCAGGGGTCGCCATCTCCTTGCAGACTGAAGGGAGCCATCTTCAGGTGACAGAAACTCTATGACCCCCTCTTTCAATTGGTATGTGATTGGTTCCTAGGCGCCTCACGGTTGTAAAAATATGGCGCTTTGAAAACGGATGAATCTTTTTCAATCACCCTGAATATTCTGATCCACTGCGAGTTTGACAGGATAGAGGCTTTGGCATGTCCATGCAGACCTTAAAACCAGGAGCCAAACTGAGATCAGACAGAAAATTCCATTTCAGTTGTTTGGTTTCTGTGTAGCTATAAGGTTCATCCCCCAAAAAATATATAAATACATAAATAATAAAATCACCCAAAAATCTCCACCCAGCTTACCCCCATCTCTGCTTGCCGCAGAGTCAGTGACTTCACCTGAGAATTAACTTCTTTTGAGAGCAAAACAAGGTGTTGTGTCAAGAGGAGAAACTTGTTTTGTGAAAAAAACAGATATTTAACGCGAAACAAATGCTTTGCACATTGCTGTTCACCTTCCAGTGCAGATAGTCAATATCAGTGATTGCTGATCTTGAGCACCAGTATTCTGACATAGACTGACCCTGCAGTTCAGTGCGAATTTCACATTTGTTTTCACTTATACCATCCGCAAAGCTTCCACTAATTAGATCCGAGGCATGCTGAGAACCTCTCGAAACAGTACTGAAATCTGAAATGCTCAGTGCTTGTCATCTGAATCTAATTTGGGAATCCAATGAGGATTCTGAAACAATGCGTCCAAAAACAGGAATGTTTGCATTCCTGGAAAAGCACTGTTTCATGATACTGTGGTGCATAATACACTGAAACAAATAAGACATCAGCTGTGTCCACTTATTTTAGTCTAATTCTGAAGGTGATCAGGTAGAGGGACCAGTGGTGCTTTATGGTTGATAACTTGATACTTGGGGCAAGATCACCTGTGAATATCGCAAATGCCTGGACAATAATCTCAGGTTTTTATCCAGTCTAGCGTTTTATCTGATCCTACACAACTGGGTTACAGTGAGTCATGTAGTACCCAGCTGCAGAACTTTAAAAACGAAAATGCTGACCAGCATCTTTCCATGAAGACTGCTTAGCAAAGCTTCCAGTAAATTCAATACTCTTGTCCTGGCATTGTCCAGCGACACTATTTATGACTTTTTGAGGGTAGCTGTCCTCTGCCTTATGAACTATGGCTTAAAAGCGAATTTTAAAGCCAGAATTTAAAGCAACAGTCTCTGAGGTATTGTTTGTACCATGCATAAATTATTGCCTTCTCAGATGGATGACCTCTAATGGAAGGCTACAGGCAGCTACTACAACAGCTGCAAGCAAGTACTTGGCCTCTCCAGTTAATACAAAACAGAGCCAGAGAGTCCGGTTGCAAGCCAGTAAAGCTTCTAACCATGGTAAATCATGTGTGTCTGGATTGCTCTCATAGTGTATTTTGGAAGACAAAGGCAAAAGTAAATGAAGTTTGCAAGTTAACAAAAGGTCTGTCTTGTACTGTGCACAACTTTGTGTTTCAACAACTATTTAGTAAATTGCAAACTGGAATGGGAGTATACTCCATATTTGTTAACTGATGTACCTGCTGAGCTTTTGTTTGTAGTTAGAATCAACTATGTTAGTCAGAATATAAGCCAAGAGGTGAGAACATAAATTATGTTAGTAAAATGTGTTTTTTGAGCTCCTCTCATCTAGTACTGTGCAAAACTCAGAGACCACCCTTCCTTTATTACAGCCTTTAAATAAAAGTCATATCACATTTTTCAGTATTTAGCTTGTCCAACCTTGGCTTTATTACTTCCATTCTGTTTGTGCAACTTACTGTCCACAACTACACTTCCTTTCTTTTATTCACAATTCATTGTGGTTTTTAAAAATGCCATGTTATTAAAACACTGAATTATTTTGCTGTTACAATGAAGTATAAAAATCTTACTTAATTCTACTATCTAAATTTTATTATCATTCAGGAGACTGCACATACAAGGTATTGGAGATCTCTCTCTCAGTCCGGCAACTTGGAATGCCTAACTTGTTTGAATTCCTTGCTTGTCAGCCTGTAACCGTCTGTCTGAGGGGAAGGTAGCAGGTCTCCAAAGACATGATGTGATCCACCTGACTGTCATCCTGAATGGTGATCGTCAAACCTTTTATAGCCTGACAGATTTTAAAGGTGTTCTGATAGACAAGGTTGGTAGTACAGGTGGATGCTTTAAATGTGTTACATGTAGAACCTTACACTTCTTTGTGTTTCTTTAATTTTGGGTTCAATTTTGTGGTTATTGACCCAATTTGGGTTTATTTTGTAGTCAATGACCCACAAGTCCAGTTACTGTTTGCTGGAGAGTACAATATGTCCTAGAGGTCCATCTCTGGGCCAGACTCCATCATCCATATGTTTACAGTGATTTGCTTTACTCAAAAGGCCATCATTAATTAGCACTGGAACAATAGTGGGGCCCAGTAGAACTCCTTGCGCAACTCCACAGCTTGGATATTGCCACTCAGAAAAATGGTTATGGTAACACACTTTCTGGCAATGATCAGTCACAAAGCTGCAGATCCACTGGACCCGACCTAGTCTTACTCCAAGATCTAGAAGACAACAAACTGCTGTTGTGTGGTTGACAGAATTGAAGGCCTTGGCAATATTAGTTGTATTCAAGGTACACACTGCATTAAGCCTCAGAAACTTTGTACATAAAATCCATTAAACTAACAAGACAATGTGTTGTGGAATGGTTCACTCTGCTGGCAAACTGCATGTCACTGAGATCTGGCATGATATCACTTAAAATGCAGTTTGCATAAGCAAGCGGGGTGTAATTATTTTGGCCTCAGCTCATCAGTGCTCAGAGGTGTACATTTAGGTATAGGTACCACAACAGCCGTCTTCCAGCGTATTGGAACTTTCCCATCTTTAAAAGATCTATTAATGATGTCACAGTGTGGGAAGCTAATTTCACAAGCAAACCCTTTTATTTTAGATGGAATCATGTCTGGTCATTGCGATTTGTAGAAATGAATAATAGAATTTATTACACACCTCCCACACTGGAATGTAGGATAACAGGAGGGCTGGCAAAAATGGCAGAAGGGATTGGGAACCTTTGACAACCTATTTGTTAATCTTGTTAGCAAAGGATGTCCTATCCAGAGAATTAAGGCCAGGAATGTTAATTACTTTCACCTTTTTTTTCCCCAAATTACACATTGACTTAACTTTACTGTGCCTAACTTTGGAATTTGTTTTCTGTATATCTTGTATTTTTTATTTGCTTTGCAGATTTCCTTTTGTACACTGTTTTGTAATACTTTGCCCAGACACTAACTTTTCCAGCCCTAAAGGCCTGTTGTCTTAAGTGGATCAAACTTTTAATCTTAGGGGTGATCCATGGCTTGTCAGAATAAAAGAACTGTATTGTCTTTGTTGGGAAATGCTTGTCAGTCTTGGGCATGATGGTATCATAAAAGGCCTTGGCTTTTTCATCAGCACTTCATGCCACAAGCAACTAGTAATCCACCTACTAAATTAACTCAAACCTGGCTACTTTATGGGTCCCATCACCTGCTTGGTGCACTGTGGAGATCTTTCTAGAACAACAGGTCTCCAAAGAACTCAATTATGATCACTCGAGCTGACTGGAGGGAGGATTTGGGCCTCATATGTAAAAATTTCATGTAGGTGATGATCATTTTCAAGATGGCTTCACCTCTGGTGTTATTTTGAACAATGTGACAAAGTTTATTGCCAAGGCAAATGTCAAGGATGTTTAACCAATTTAAATCTACAAAAATGACCAACTCAAATATCTGGGCATTTTGTATGAAACAAGTCAGACGAGATTGTTAAATGCTCAATTAATTCATTTTGATGTGGTGCCTGTGGTGGTGAGTACACCACACACTGCAACAGGAGAAATATGTCTTGGTAGTCTTTGAGGTCGTACCTTCACTCACAAACATTACAGATGGCCTGGGACTTTTATACAAGTAAGGAGAAATGCTGGAATACACACTTTGATGTACAACTCTCTCCCTCCACCATGATGTTTAGTTCAGCCTTTAGAAAAGAATGCATATCCTTCCGTGCTCAAAATTGTCTTCATTTTATGTACATTTAAATGTGTTCTCTTCCCATATAGGAAACTAAGTGTGTTCATATAGGTGAACTGAGGTCTACCACAGTCTGGTCTTGATCAGAAGAGACTTGCTTTTACCCCATCTGCATCCTCTTTTCTTTTTTGGATTGATGTCTTTGCCAACCCTTCTTTCTGTAATATTCTTTACAAATACTGAACTGCTTTAGGTGCAGTTTCTTATGGCGACTAAGGTGGTCTGCCAGGTCTTGCATGGGTGTTAGGAGTCCAATTTTCTCTGTATCTTATGATATTTTTTACTCTAGTTTTGAAAACTCCTGTTTTTTTCATGTATTTACCTTTGATTTTTTTTCTTATTTCTAACCTCCTCAGAAATATTGCCTAAAAATGACTTTTTGACTGAAATTTTAAGAAATAAGAGGTGTTTTTTTCAGTTTTGAACAGTACTGTATGCACAGACTGAATATTCAGACGTTAGACCAGGGCTGCATGATAAATCATATTTTTTATTGTTATCGCCTTATGAGTTTTCATCATTATGAACTATGATGACAGAACAAATCAAATAACCTCATACACTCATAGACATCATTACATAAGCTGCACAAACTGTTAGCAGCCTAATGAAAGCCTCTCTAAGCAAGGTTTAAACCCTGCTTCAGGTGGGGGAGAAGTAATTTAATCATTAGGCTGAAGAGCAGCGCACAACTAAAACTGTAAAAATGCATCAAACATTAAGACTGTTCTCACACCCAGTTTTAAGTGTGTGAAGCAGTAATGGCTACTATCAGCAAACATATTTACTGACGCTGAATGTTTTTCAGCCTTCCAGTGCACAGAGAAATATGCTTGCAGTTCTGATGTAAATACCTGTTAGTACTTCATCTTTTTTATTTTGCATTATAGTGAATGGTGCTTTTGTAATTTTGTATTTTGCTATTTGTTTTAAAGAGAGGTTAGTCAGATATCTGTATCCAAAAAAAACTGCCTGTACTTGTGACGACAGCTGCTGTAAAAAGTGCTTTATAAATCAAATTTGACTTGGTTTGACTTGATTTGACATCCAGTCCATCACACTATATTAATAATGATTTAGTGCTTCTCAAATCTAGACAACATATATAGTAGAACAGGCAAAAATAAAAATATTTAATAGCTGCACATCTAAGAACTACTGATACCTTTATAAGGCTGTCCAAAAGCCCTAGACTCCATACCTACCGCAAGTACACCGGACAGTAAATAATGCAGGCAAATTAGACACATGTAATCCATCACCCACTATCTGATTGCTTTGAGCTCTGTCTTCACTGCTCAACTTCACCCCTGCACACTAAACTAAGATACAGGAGGAACATGAGGACAAAAGTCTACTTTACAATTTACTCAGTATAATAATGACAATTCACTACAAATACTCACTTCAGATACTACAGTTGCTGCAGATTTTCTCACACTATTAGGACACAAGGTTTCCCTTTAAATACTTTTGATTTATTTTTAGCAAATCACTAGAAAACATGGAACCACTAGGGGAAAAAAAACATGGATAACCTGCAGATTGCACTGGGTTTACTTTTATATGTACTGAACACATATGGACCATATTTTTCTGTCATTAGATCAGGACACATTATGTATGTCTCATATAGTTAGGGTCTATATTTTTTTATGTGCAATATTCAAATATTGCACCTCTGTAAGCTCTTTATTTTTTCTTCACATTATTTAAGCCAGTGAGATGGTGTCTGAGTACTTAAGGAATATTGTGACAGCAGGGACGAGACAGAACACAAAGGGTTTCAGCTTGTCTCAGAAGCTGAAAAGAGGGTGTGTGGACTCACCATATGATGTAATAGCTCCTGACTCCACTAGAGTGCAGCAGTGAGTACAAGACACAACGTTAGAACACCTGGCAAAAGCGTGTGCCCAATTTAATTTAGAGAGGTGTATGTTTTTTATTGTGGTTTTAATCACTAATATATAACCCAACAACACACACAAGCTGTTGTAATCTGCACAGTTATACTATACCCTATACTGTATTTATTTATTAAGCAGTCAATGAAAAAGCAGATATTCATGGACATTGAGAATGAATTTTAAAGTCACTGACCTATCCCAGATTGATGTTTCTTGTAGTTCTCTCCAAAGGACACCAGGCCTATAGCAATACTCTGCAAGCATGGACGGATTGATGGAGTAAACTATGGATAACAAATGAGAAAAGGAAGGTTAATGAACAACACACAAATATCTTCGTTTTAAAATGCAAGAAAACAAATCCGTTGAGTAAGCAGGAAAACAACACACAAAGATCCCATCTTTTTAAAATGCAACAAAACTACAAAGAATAACAGAGAATAAGGGAACTTGGAGTATAATAAATAAAATACATGCTGTTTTAGGGAAAGTCCCAGCAGATTATCAGGAACCAAAGGGAACTGCACGCAACTGTATTTGGATGTGACAACATTTATTTAGAACAAGTAAACCATGATAAACTGTACTATAATATAAGGCTCAAAACACCACATGATTTGACCACTGCAGTCATTTGAACCCTACAGCCATTTAGGATCATTTTAGATAAAATGTGTCCCACATGATTTTGTTTTCCTTTTTTCGTGTTCATACATCTGACCAACATCACAGAAAAGCATGAAAACCAATCATAACACACATGCGCACAAATGCGCACACACAGACTCTGCCAATACCCTTTGCGCTATTATACAGAGACAAGAACAAATATTAGGGCTGCACAATATATAATTTGCCAATACAGACCTTCACAAAACTCAGTAATATGCAAATGAGCCTCTGACCAATCACTAAATGTTTTATTGTGTAATGTGAGCAGGACTGGGTATTGTTTGAGACATACAAAAGCCGATACCACTGATTTCTCAAACTGGTCCCAATTCCTGAACAATTTAAAAACTAATCTTTTATCAAAAATAAATGTGTTATAAATATATAAATAAATACATTGCACATGTAATTGTAGAATGGGCAACAAATTTCTGGAAACAAAAGTATGATTAGCTAGTTTCTGCTTCCTATGGTCATGGCAACCACTGAAACACAATCATGTTTTAAATTAGCTACAAGTAATATAAATAATGAAGCCTGGAATCTAACAAGTCAAGTGCAACAAATATTTCAATGGGTAGAGACTGTTACAGCAGTCAAGCTTACATGTTTAATGTTTTCAGTGTATTTTGCTTTTGCAAGTGTCACGCCACTAGAAACATATGCAAAATACTCTCACAGCATTTTGTACTTGCAAATGGTGTAGAACAAAAGCATTGCGGAAATGTGTGCAGGCCACACCTTACGGCTTCTGGCATAGATAAAAAAGTTATGCTGCTGAAAGCTGAATGCATGCAGAAAAAAAGAATGCACTAAATATTTGGTCCAAACCTAGTATTCTGCCCAGTCATAGATCACTAGGTGTTTAACCAAATCACAGTATTCACATGATCTAAAAAATATAAATCATTTTTGTCAAAATAATGCAGGTTGTAGTGGATGAAATCTTCCCTTACAAAATGGGACCCTCAAATATAAAAGAACATTACTTCATTAACAGGCTGCTAACGGTGCTTGGAGGCGACCCTGCCAGTCTGCAGTGACAGCAGAGGAGGGTAAAGTTCAGCAACCTCACTGCTGGGCTTTAGTTACATTTAGGGAATCATATGCCTTCAAAGAGGGGGGATATAATAATTATTTATCACCTACCCCTAATTCTTCACTGATATGAAGCTGAAGTCAACTATTCACCAGCTTCTTTTTTGAATTTTCCCGTTTCACCTTAAATGGTGCGGCAGTTCTGAGCCTGAGGCGCCAGAACCTAACTGCTGCACCATTTAAAGTGGAACGGGATATGCAGCTAGCTAGCTACTAAGACATCAGCATACTACTAGCGATTTTTTGTGCTTGTTATGAAGAAAAGGACTGTAATACATTGAAATGACATCAAATTAAGATAACAAAATGGTTATTGACATTTTTAACAGAGAAAATACACACATTTGTGGGTTTCTTTCGTCACTTGCGCAGCCATCTTGCCGTTTTTCTGTTTTTCTCATATCACTCTGTTTGGAGTGTGCCTCTGAAAAACCTCCATTTGAGGGCTCTGTAGCCCTAACACTTCGCCCTACCCCTCTATCGCAACAAAAATGGAGATATTCTCCCCCAGGCGTGAACGCAAAACTGAGGGGTAGGGCTAAGTGGTAGGGGCAAAGGGTGAAATGGGATTGGGCCTTTGTGTACATTGTGCAGCCCTAACAAATACAGAAACTAAATACAGAGACCAGTTAATGCATACGCACCTGGAAACCGACACAGCGGCCATAGAAACAGCCCTTGTGCATGGACGCATACTCTCGAAGAAAGCTCTGGCTGAGACCTGTCTCCTCCTGGAAGAAGAGGTTGCCATGGCTGTTATCGTGGAGCAGCCGTTGCGCCAGGTAGAGCAGAGCCCTAAGCTGACACAAAGCACTGCAATACGCCTCCATCTCTCCAGCATTATGGGCAGCGCGGAAAAAGATGCTCCGTCTGTTGGATGCAATGTAGCGCCCCTTGTGGATAATGTGGAGGAGACAGCAGCGCACCACCTGATAGAAATCCAGAGAGAAGTCATTACAATTAAGTTACAGAGCAGAGTTCTAAAGTATGATGTACAGCAGAAAGGCATCCAAAAAAGACTTAAGATATACATTCATGTGTTTGCCTGGTCTACCACCACCACCACTACCTAACCCTCAAAATCTTCAGAAATCTACAGAAAAAAGTGAGCTCCCTCTACAGAACATTCTTGATACATCGATTATTTAAATATCTAGAGGTCAGATCAAGTGGGAAGAATAAGATACGGTCATGAAAGAATGCACCCGCCTTATCAACAATTATCAGCAATTATCAGGAATACTAGAATCATATACACTACATGGCCAAAAGTATATGGAAGCCGGCTGAAATGATGTACAAGCACACTACCATTGCCCTCTAGAGCAGTAAAAATTTGTCTGGAGGGATTAATCATGCTTCAAAGTGTTGGCACAAAGTTGGAAGACCACAACTCTCCAAGTAAGGGGCCCAGCCCAAACCATGAAAACATCCCTAGACCATTATTCCTCCTCCCTCAAACTTTATATTTAGCAGTCTGCATTCAGGAAGGTAGTGTTCTCCATCCATCAAACCCAGGTTTTTTCATCAGACTGATTCATCTGTCTGCTTCATCACAATGGAGAACAGCTGTCCACTGCTCCAGAAACTACTGACACCACTATAGAGAGCTCCTAGCACTGCGCATGGTAAGCTCCTCGGCCATGGAAACCCAATTCATTAACCTCAAGATGAACAGTTCTTGTGCTGATGTTGCTTCAAGGGACGGGTTGGAAGTGAGTGTTGTAACAGAGGACAGACAATTTTTACACTCTACTTGCTTCTGCGCATGGCGGTTGCATTCTGTGAGATTTGGTGGCCTTTTTCTTTACAGCATTGCTGTTGTTGTTCATTGATGATTTTCACTTTATTATAACAGCACTTACGACTGACCTGGGCAGCTCTAGCAGGGCAGAAGATTGACAAACTGCTGGAAAGATGGCATCCTATGATGGTGCTTATGGAAGTCAATGAGCTCTTTAGCACGACTCATTCTACTGCCACAGCTTTGAACTTGTAAGCAATGGGTGGAGCTGATCCAGCCAAACCCACCAATTACAATGATTTAAATTGAAATTATTTTTGGCCATATGGAATAAATGTTTTGCAATAACAATAATCTGATCAATACTTGTACCTTCACTAGTGAGCGATATCCATTGGCAGGAATGTGAGGGTCAAAGTCAAAGTGGTGATAGATGGCAGCAAAGCCAGAGATAACAGGCTCCAAACTGCGAGCATGTTTCTGGATGGTCAGCATAGCATCTACTAGTCTCTGTGCAGCATCTCCCGTTGGCCCCTTTGGGCCTCCAGAAAAGAAGGTAGCATTCTCCTCACATACTTCATACAGGGCTGTAAACACCGCCTTAGTGTCCATCACTGGGAAAAAAAAACAAACACAGAGGTTCAGGGCTTCAGATGAGGTTGAGATTAAACATCCTAACAAAATATCTTCTCATCAGTTAACATATACAGGTTAGGCTAGAAAACACAAGGCTTATCTAAGTAGCAGTAATGCAACATTCTGACAAAAGCCACAATAAGGGATCTACAGGAATTTACAGCAGTTTGCTACCATTTGCAAATGTTGTACACTACTCTTTTTTGAAGTGATTCTGAAATATCTATGAGTCCCAGGGAACTAGGGCTACAACAACTAATAAAAAAAAATTGCAAATGCTGATTATATAAAAAAAATGGTTGGCAACGAATCTTATCAGTGCAGGGCTAAGCATGATCCAAAAAAGTAAATAAAAATGGGAACATTTCACTTTAACATAATCTAAAAAGATGGTTTCCAGTAAGATATGTGTAAAACCGAGCTCACCCAACATGACAGCATGATTGCCATGTGTTAGCATCAGAGAGAAAAGACATTCATGGCAGAAAATGGCAAAAGCTCAGCATGGTTTTTAACTACTGAAACCATAGCAAAACCTCTGTCAAAGGTTAAAAACAGCATGAGGTTCTGTGCTTTTCAGCAATTTCTGTTTTGGTTTAGCAAAACAAAACACCATAGGCTGAAGGGATGAGCTGCATTTTGGTCTAAACTGCACAGATCATTAAAATTTACATGCTAAAGCTCACTTAATTTTGCATGGTTATCTCTGTTTCACGTGGACTGAGTGTGCCTTTGGTACTGTGTGTCTAACATGGCTGAGGACCAGACTGTTACTGTGTGCTCTACAATATTAGGCTTGATTACATGGAGTTACTGACCACACAAACTTTTTTCTTTTAATAATCTTTTTATATACACTAAACTATTAATGATCTTTATCATCAGAGGAGAAATAATTTGAATTGCAATGGTTCTTAGAATCATACTACCTCCATAATAATACTTAAGCTGCCATGTAAAATTTACTTATGCATTGTTCCTTTATAAATTCTGCACCTTTCAAACTGAGCATTATCACAGGACATTTGTGGTTGATAAAGGTACTGCCCAGTTTATGGGGAGAATTTTGGCTTAATTCATTAGCCATTTAGTAGACACTGGAAAGTTATTCTTAGGCCATACTTTGAACATCTATGGCCAGGGTGTCAAACTCAACCAGTAAAAGGGCCATATTAAAAAAATCTCAAAGTCTGTGGGCCAGAGGAAAAAATGTTTTTATTTTATTTTTAATTAATGTTGTGCTGTAACCCGGACTGGCCATTGTTTGTTCAAAATATGCAAAAACTTTAGCAGTAAAATACAGACACTTGTAGCAGACCTTGAAATATTACATAGACACTTGAAATATTCAAAATGTAATTTATTGTTTGAAGTAGACACCTGGCATCCTTTCTTAGCTGCAAGTTCATTAAGACTTGGGCTCAATTTCCGAGCTGTTGAGTTGTCATTAAGTGTTTATATTGGTTGAACTGCAGCTGAAATGCATTTTGGCAATGCGACTGGTGCGGAATTGTGTAGAATTGAGGTGTAACCCCTGTCCCGTAGATTGTTGTTGGGATAGGAGAGTCAGCGCACAGTACGTTGCAGTGAATGCTGGGGACTGTAGTGCAGCATGTTGTGAAACAGGCTAATATTAATAGAAACTTAAAATACTTTTGTGGGCCGGATAGGATTGCATGGCGGGCCTAATCTGGCCTGCAGGCCTTGTGTTTGACACATGGGATCTATGGTGTGATCCCACAAGACCAGATGAATGTACTTAGAAACACTTAGAAAACACATTCCCTGGGGCTTTAAACATCAAATTCTAACTCTGTAACTCATAACTATCTTAGTTGGGAATAAGTAACCTATTGATGCAGAGGCAAAGAATGGCTACACTGTATTTTTAAAATTCTCTTCTCATTAATTAACAATCTCTAAACTAGAGATGGGCAATATGACAATATTTTACTATTATGACAAACTATGTCACAATATTCTTTCATTACATTTTTCAGCAGAAAAATTCTGTTGAATTGGGTTTCAGGCAGTCAAGTTTGTAATACAATAAATGAAAATCATAATTGTAGGTTTATTATCATTATAGAAGTATTGGCATATCAACAGTGCTACTCTAAACTATATTGTTGCACCTATGGTGATATTAAAAGAACTATCTCATGGGCCAAAACTGGTTTAGATTTCTGTATCATTGTGACAAAGCAAACAAATGCACAGCAAATAATTACACATATTTCACTTACATTTTATTCAATTAGAGTAATAATGTGTTTGATATCAAAGTTAAGTTTGTTATGATCTAAACTCAGTTCTGAATATATGCAATACCTGCTCAGAAACTGTCTAATCAAGCATTTACCACAGCTTGCCAAATTGTCAAAAGCTGCCCTTTCACATAAAATCTCAAAATTGGATTAAACTCTAAGAACACCTCTGTTTATTGGTCAAGGTTTGTTCCAAGCTTTTTTCACCAAAAGCTTTTTTCTTGCCTTTGTTTTTTGCTCTTTGCCCTAAATAGTCCCTTTATTACACCACTGAAGCCGCTTTTCATGTCTTTCCCAATTCTCATGAAGTCTGACGGAGTCCTTCCCAATACTCCATTCCCCTCTGTGAGGTATTGCATGTTTCCATTTTCTCCAAGATGCTGCAATATTCTCTCCTCACAAACTTGGTCAAACTGTCTCCTGCTCTGTAAACTTCTCTGTGTAGTGTAAAAGTGTGGTGTTACACTATACTAGAAAGGTGTTTAGAGCAAATCAAACATGGCAGTCGTGACACAGCAAGTCATGTGTGCATTTAGCAGCATAAAAATGTATAACACATTTAAATAATACAGATATATAGTAGATATATATGATGAATGGACCAGTTGAAAAAATCCCCAAAAATCACCTAGAATAAAACTTCTTAAAATTAACTCACATTAAAAGGTAAGAACATTTTGGCCTTCTCCTAGAAAGTTACTATTTTCGAGATATAGTTTTTTCTTTGGACAGCAGTATATTTTATTTCTTTTTCACAGTGTTGATTAAGACAAAATAACATTTATCCTTCCAGCTTGGCTCTCGCTGGTTAACGGTCTGTCACGCATGACGTCAATGTTGTGTTTCATTTAAGAGAATGGGTTTCATCCACCGTACAGAATGCTGAGTCAAAAATATTGAACATATTTAATATTAATGATTTGAATTTGAGGTGGCCACAGCTGAGAATAGATCAGAGGGACAAATATTGGATTATGTACACTCCACACCACAGGACAATCTGGAAAAATAATTGAAATTGGGACACTTTTTTCAATCGTCCTCAAGGGCAAATCTGCCTCTTACTCAGCCCAATGAACCTACAGTGTGGACCAGACATAAGCCAAAAAAATTGATAATGGGATAGTATGATAAAATAGACAGCGATCTGTGCTCTCAACACCAATGCATTTTAACTATTTATTTGACTAGCAATAAATATCTAGTAACAGATTCGCAATAGAAGTTTACTGAGTGGCTAAGCTGCTAATTGTGAAAAGTCTAGTGTAGTCTATTCAGCTGTTCAGTTCACTGGTCAATACTGAATATAGCGGTCACAGACCAGACTGAACCATTAATAACAAGCACAAATGAATTATTGATGTCCTCAGTACAGAGCAAAAAAGTGACGCAAACCCCTTTCAATGTTTGAGTCACAAACACATAACAACACAGCCCCAGACACTGACATCTTCATGACAAGTGGATCATTTCAAAACACAGCTAGAAACTGCTGGCAAGGTCTCTAAGCTAAAGATAGATGCCAGAACATTGTAATGCTTGTGATTTGAATCGATAGGCTAAAATGTCAAAATGTGTACAACAATATGTTCTTCTACCATATGCAGACATGTGCCAACTGTCCACACAAACAAAATTTTGCAGCAACTAAATCTCAAAAGCAATGAAGCTCAAAAGAATGCATATGAGATGACAAAAGCAGACAAAATACATACTTGACATTTTACATATAACTTATATTTATCTACCTTGTAACATCAGAGGAGAAAATGTAATGTCAGATGTGGGATGAAACATGCATCCGACTCATATGCATCCTCCTCGTCAGTCTAAAACAGTGGATCTCAAACCAGACCTCAGGCTCTTTAAGACAGTTTTTTTTTATTTTGATTTGATTTGACAGTTGATTTGAGCAAAAATGTGGACCATCTGGGGGCCCTGAAGAACAGTTTAGGAGGCTCTAAATCTCTGAGAATCTCTTAAACATGTACGTCCAGAGGTATCCAAGACAACCCCCTCTAATTAGTGAATCCAGCTACTTTAAGGCAGGGATGCACCAATACCACTATTTCCCTTCCAATACCGATACCTGATCCTTGAGTTTTGGCTGATACATAGTACGGATACCAATACTAACTCTATTTACCTAACTAGCTTATAAGTCCTGATATTTATGCAGTTTGATTTTTTAAGTAGTTTGGTAAAAGCTATGCTCCTTGTCACTAACAAAACATATCAAGCTTAAATGAATAACATTTACTTGAAACCATGCTGTTGCATGAAGCAACTGACTGACCAAGGCACACCACTAACCCGGCTAGTGGGCTGCTATGCTAAAGGATAAACTTAGGCTAAAAGCTATTTTTACGCCATGACACCAGTCATTCCTTCCATTATTCTCTCCAATGTCTGCGTCCTCAATAAGAACTTGGACTAACATTACCTGAGGGCGTAACAGTCTAAACAGTAGGAGATGAAGGATTCAGGTAAAGGGCTACCATTGTTTAAGTTGCACTGTTTTTATGTTGCATTATCTAGCTCATTTGTTGCAGTACTGGTGAAACTAACACCTAAGGAATAATTACAAATGGCATATCACCCAATACTACTGCCACAGTGCAAATGTGTCCCTTGTTCCAGGTAAGTTTCATGTACTGGTGTACAGAAATTGCTACATGTTATAGAAACTCTCTATTGCTGATAACAACACTGTGTTCAAGTGCCAGTAACAGTATGATTTGTGCAAACCTAGGCAGAACACTGAAGTCTGCAGAGCTGTGGCCCACCAGGACTGAATACTTTCACATGGCCTTAGTCCAATCCCAAGTATCAGCTAAAGGGGTATAAACCTCCCTGGAACTGGGCTGTGGGTCAGGTCACTAGACTGATTGAGCACTATCAAAATACTTTTGGGAGGAGTTTGCGAGCCATTAGTGATCTGGAATACACAACAAGCATCGACAGTTAAAATGAAAAACCATTTTCTTTGGCTCTCAAATACACAAGGACATATCATTGATGCAAAGCACCACTCTTATGATGCATCAAATGCAATTTCCTTGCTAACAGCACAGTCTTGTGGCGAATCTTCAGCCTGCTATATGAGAGTGGGTGAGTGAGTTACAAGTCAGGTCCACAATGCGGCCTTCTAACAATGAAGGCCATAACCACTGTTTAAAGCCTTTGTATCTGTATGAAATTTAAAAAGGTATGAGTCAAGTTGTGCACAATACAAACCGTAAGTATTCCGCAAATCTGAATTTTGCAGTCAGAAAGTTTTTTTTTCTGAATTCTAGCAAATTGATGATTGACTCTATACATTATTTCTGCCTTGAGCAACTAAAGGCTATTATACCATGAATGCCACAAGAATTAGTGTAGCCTCAATAATTAGCTGAAATTTTAGGAGTGCTTTTGTGCATATCTTAGATGTCCGTAGACCAGTATAAGCTGCTTTTGGAGATGCTAGCACCACATGTGACATTTGCTGGAACACTGCTGATACTAGAGATAGCAATTGAGTGCGAGCAGGTCACAAAAACGTAACAGAATGGCATATTAATTTTCCGCAATCGCATTCAGTGTGGAAGACATCATCAGTTATAGATGTGTACTAATGGCCAAAAAAATCACGAGTAAATCATGCTCGGTGTGTAAAGGCCTTAAAACAGGGTATGTGGCATTCTGGTGTAGTGGCATCAAAACTGGCTATCAGTCCATTTCATTCACATAGTCAACCAAAAGCAATGCCAAAAATACATGAAGAGCATTATAGAGGATCAAAGCAAAAATGGTATGACGCACATAAGACCCGTCTGGAAAAAAATGCAAGAAAAGGGTAAGACTTGGAGGACTGTAGAAGGCAGTACTGCTCTTGTTACAAAACCACTTGAGGCTTATCTAAATCTTTCATTACGGAAACACTATTGCATCCAGCCATAAGTAATTATACAGCTTAGGCCATCACCTGATCCCATTACTCAATTAATGACCTAGCACAGAAACATGACAAAATACATTCACACAAGGTAAACTTGAGTCCATCTATTTGGATAATGAGAATTAAATGCAAATTGTGTAAAAAACTGTGTAATTTCTTTAGGTTGAACATAATCACATTCATGATCATAAGTTAAAGGTAAACAGAGAAATGTATTTTAATCTCTGCATACTCAATGTTATTCATGGCTTCATATTTTGGGGTCAGTCCTAATGATATTAAAGATTACGAAAACAACTGCAAGTAATAATAATAATAATCAATTATTATGCCAATAATATGCCCTAGTAAAAGGAAACATAGGTGCTTTTCTTATGCAGTGATGATACATGAGTAAAGCTTTCAATATAACAAACTAAATAACTCAAGATTTACTGCAAACACTGACAGACTTTATAGAGATGAAACATAAAAAACACGGCAAGCTAACAACAGCATTTCTGCATGCATTACAGAGAAGACACACACATGCACACACAGGATTTAGGCAGAGGAGCCATGGTTTTACCCTTGTCTGAACTCATGCTGTCCATCCTGCCCACTCAGTAGAAGCTCAGCCTGAAAGCCAGAGAAGAAATAAAATGTGTGGAGGGTGAAACTATTAGAGAAAGAAAGTTATTATGGGGTGCTATGACTGGACCCTGTCTCTCTTCTCCCCTCCCTGGGGATATCCACACCCTCTAACTTCTCTTCTACTGTCTGTTTTTTTCTTCTTCGGTCACCTCGTACTAATCCGCTCCTTTTCTATTTACACCTCCCACCACTCACACACACAGGCACCCACCCACCCTCAAGGGCATGGCATGGTGATTTCACACACATACCAAATGCATTACCAGCTCTGCTAATGTGTCGTATTACCCACTAAATCACAAAAATCACATATCAAGGTAATACGTTTTTTTTTTTTTCTAAACTAACAGTGCCCTAATACCCAATGCCCTCTGCCTTCATGCCCCTCTAGGCGGCCAGCCACAAGTTGCCTCATTAACATTCGTTGCTATTGGCTATTCCATATGGAGGCTGCCAATGACAAGCACAATAACTGGAAGCTTCAGTGCTAGGGAAAGCAGCCAATCTGTCTGTGTGGGTGTGTATGTGTGTCAGAATGGCTACAGACAAAGGAACATCTACTGAAACAGCAATGAAACTCAAACATTTAGCATGAGTGCTACTTTGAAATTTTAAAATCTGCATAGCGAATTCCTAAACGCAATACATTTACAGGGTTAATAAACAAAAGGCATCCACCAGTCAAAGTGTTTGAATACTGAAACTGCACATTTCACTGCTTGATTATGATTATTATTATTATTATTATTATTTTAACTTTTAGGTCTTCCAAGGTCTGAAAAGCATGTTACAGGCTTCAAATGCACAGTTGTATTTCCGAACAAGTATTCAAAGATTCATTCTCAAAATAAAACAATAATACACCATACTTTTAAGCATATTTGTTATGGCAGCAAGTATATTAAGTAGTCATACTGAAGCCCATCTGCTCACGCACTGTGTTGCTGCAAAAGAATTGATGAAAATCAACGTGATGACTGAATACTCGACTATTCAATTTATTCGGGCCAGTTGCAGTGACAAGTGTTTACATTTGAATGACAAAGTGGAAAAAAAATAAAAAAAAAAATAAAATCTTTCAGAAACACACTACGACACATTTGCCATACTAATCTAAAGTCTGTCAAGTAGAAGTGTAACGATGCATTGTGACACTGTGATACTGCAAAGCAAACGTTACAATACACGGTGGAGAATTGACATCCTATTATTTCTGCCATCTAATGCAACTGTATTGTTTAAACACCAGTTTGTAAACAATCAGCACCAAGCAACAACTCACTCCAGCACTCCTTTGGCCTGCCAGGTCTTGTGTCATTAGTATGATAACTAGGGATGCAACAATACTGATACTGGTATTGGGTATCAGCCAATACCATGCTAACTTACTCATAAAATATGCATCGATACTAACATCCGATATCACCAGATACCATGTGAAGTAAGTCTAGTCTACGCTACCGCGCAAATGAACAAACGACTCAAGTTGGCTGTGAACGAGAGTCTACTCACAAGTTTCTTACGCGGTGGCAGTTCAATAGAAAGTTGCAGGTCACTTTAAACATCTGCGTCTGACTTGGCAGATTCCCGCTTGACATACACTGTATGATTTTAGCACATTTTTAACCACACACATCCACAATCACTTCCCCAACACGGGTGGAGACACATGGCTACCAAAACGGAGGTTAAAAAAAGTCAACATTTGCAGTACTACAGTCTGTATATGCTGACTTTACTTTGTTAAACTGAACAGAAAGTGCACTTAATTAACCACCAAGGCAAAAAGGTACATACAAAGCACTAAACCATTAACCATAGGCTTCCACCCCGTGAGCCCAAACACAAAACAATCACACCCCCGACACAGAATAGCACAAATGACACATTCACATACCTTTAGGCTAACAAACAACAAAAACGACATTAAATGTCCCTTTTAGCTTTAAAATGTTCCCTTTAAGCTTACTAATAATGCAGTTGCTTATTTATTTTTTAGGTTTTTATACTACTATTATTCTTATTATTTTGCTAAACATGAAATTTACAGGACATGCTATTCCCCTGCAACCGGGCAATTCAGGATACACTTTCATCCTTGTTTTAGCAGAATGTAAACCTGGTTACAGTATGGATACCAATCCAAGATGGCCTAAAAATTATTCTCTAATTTTAAATACAGTATTATTATGAGGTATTACGGTATACCACGGTGAAAAAAGTGATGACAGCATTTCAAAATTATACTGTCAAATTTCTATTCCATGTCTGAAAAGGCCAAATAAACAGATTTCATTCATTTATATTTTTTAAGAGGGGCTCAATGATTGGTGGTGTGGGAGCTCACATTTTGATGGCATGGTTAGAAAGAGTGAAAAAATCAGAGCCTCAAAAAACCTCAGAAAAACAAGCATGATAGCAGCTCAGCAACAGCTAAGAGCTGCACTCACCCCAGAACAGGTTTAATTTTAGCTGATAGGAAGTGTCTAAAAGCAACAAGGCACTCCTTTAAAACCATGCATGTTCAAGACCATAAATTCATGGTCTCTGTATCAGTTAGACTCCGCCTTGTCTCAGTCTCACGGTAAGAAAAGTTTTTTTATACACTGTACAGTTTTTTTTTTGTATATTATACAGTATCAACAATACATTCAGACAACAAAAAACTGCCCTTTTCTATAACAGGGATTCCCAACCTTTTGCAACTCACAGACCACACAAACGATCACAAGCTTCTGCGGTCCAAATGTAACCGATCAGGTAATGTTGTCTGACTCACCTAATTAGATAGCTAGTCTGCTTTGACAGCTACAGAGTACTGGATATCAGGGTGATAAGAGAAAAGCTGCAAACTGTTTTTTGACTCAACTACTACAAAGTCTTGGTCCTGACTCAGGCTCCATGTGTCTAGGTCTTGGTCTTGAACCAGACTCAGCTTTAGTGGTCTTGAGTACAACACTACCAGCAAAGATACTAACTAACCAGCTCCTCTCTGCTAGGAAGCATCACTCTTTAACATGCATTACCTGTTAGATAGATGTGTTGACATTTGTTGCATGAAATACACTACAATAATATTTGGAGACAATGCATTACAAAGGGGATACTGCCCAAACCTAGTTATCATACAATGCATTTTGCCCATGTATAAATGCTTCACCTATGAACCTGACACCCAAACACATAACCAAATTCTCACCATATCAAAGTGCATCTTTTGGAAGCACTCCATGGCCTCAGAGAACAACACATGCCTGCAAAGGGACTGCTGTGCCTTTAGAGTCAACTGCAGTGAGTGAGCACTAGCTAAAACTGCACAAAAGCTGCCAAATGAGTTTACAATAAATCAGTTTTGTTCTTCATTAGACAGTAAAAAATAACTTTGGCAGTTGGACCCTGTATAATCTTGTTTAACAGTGCTATAAATAAAGGTTTATTGGATAAAGACAGGGTATGGTAAATCTACGTGTCAGTTCTGCCAAATATAGATGGCCCTGATTCTCCGTTTTAAATGCAGCTTCAAATGCCATAGGTTTCATTAATTATTTTGCAGTAACTGTCAAGTACTGCTTTCCTGGCACAGAATGATATGTATTAGCTACCGTTATGTACCTAATATATGAGTCTAGCAACATATTTTTTTAAGGTTAGAGTAGATGTTCTATTTTAAGTTCAAAATCTTCACATTAGTATACTACAAACTATTTTTTTCTGGTTCAAGCCCTGTGCCAAGTGTCTGGCTACATGTTTTGTTACTGAAAGGGAACAATGAGACAGATATTAGCCCCATATTACTCCACACAAAGTTCGAGAGGAAGCTGTTAACAATGCCTTGCAGGATCCATGTAATGATGAGTTTCCTTTCCTTATCATCCACACCACCAACCACAAAAACAAAAACTACTTCAAATCTTAAAACTACATATACACAATTTCACCCACATTTCTTAGCTTAATTATTAGATTTTAAGTATGTTGTACATCTCTATTGCTGTTTACACTGTATGCTTACTTATTATAAATAAATACATAAAATAACAAATCCATGCTTCCTAAGGACTAGTACTATATGCTAGAAGAATATCTTACAAACTTGACACAGCTTGTTTTGAACAGACGTTTAGTTCTGTTCTGCTTCTCTTAAAATGACCCCTAAGGGAACCTTACACAGTATTGTAAACATTACCAGACACAAATCACATCTTCAGAAAGCAAACATATTATTTAGTATTTTAACTATATGAAGGCATGCAATTTTCTTTTTAGTTACCTGACAAATGCAGAATGAAGCCAGATAGCTAATGTTACTGCCAGGAAGCCAAATATCTTGCACACAACTGTTTAACTGTGGTAAAACTGTGTTTAAAGCAATACAATTAGGATAACAGATTACTTGGGTGAGAGAAATGAGTCACCAAAGGAGGAGAACAAGAAGCTAAAAGCTAAATTTGGACAGCTAGCTATCTAGATATCTTACCTCAGTTTGGCGCCTTTCTCCTGCTGAAAGAGTTCAAATTTGTCTCTGATATCCACTTTGTGCTGAATAAAGACATTACAGTCCGATTTGTTGAATATGCCAGTGACACAGCCTCAAATCTCATTAGTAGTCCTCTGGTTTGACGTGCTGCATATATCATATATCTAAATGTATTTTTCTCTGCTGTGGCATAGTAACAATTTCCAATAGCCACAAACCACTGTAGCAGACACTCTTATTCAGAGAGATAAGAATGGTGGTTGTCTTGTTCACAGACTCTGGACAGGAAAGTGTGAGGTGAGAGTGTTACACTAGCCAGTCATTGTAGCTTTAGTACGTATTAGTCTCCATAGTTTTTACTCAAGGTATACTGCACTCTGCAGGCATTCTGGCCTATTTAAGAACAAAAGCTCTCTATAACGCTCTACAATGTTCACACCTGCACATTACACTATAGGAAGCACTACAGACAACTGGCAGCATGCACAACAATTCAGATATACAGTACATTCCAAGAAGCACTTGCCATTTACTGTTTGGTTTCACATTTTTCATTCACCATCCACGTACTGCAAGGTCCTTCAGTAGGCTTAACTACAAGGAAGAATATGTGAAAAGAGAGAGTTTACAGTTCTGGCTTGTCTAGTTGTCTGCCAGACAAAACACCCTGGTAGACACCACTGTTTTTGGTTTCAATGTTTCCATCAGGATTTCGTGTTTCCTGTGAAGAGGTGTTTCAGCAGAACATTAAACTAGCACCACATTTGACACATTTATAAATATTTCTTGAAATTTCAAGAGTTATTATCTCACGTTTCCTGAGGGCTTGGACCTCACACAGTTGGTTTTGATGTTTGTCCCATCTTCTTCTCTTAATATTACACCAAAAGGAACTTTACACAGGGGTGTAAATGTTCACCAGACAGAATCCACATTTCCTAAAAGGAAACTGTCTGTATTCTTTCAAACTGCAGCAAACTATATAGGCTATACTGCAGTTATGTGTTTTGTTAATTATACAGTGATAACAGTAAACATAACCATCAGTATTGTTTCGTGACCAATACCAGCATACCTACAAGGCCAAGTACTATCTGCTCTGTTTATGTTTATTATTCAAGTTGCACGAAGGGAATTGTAAAGGGTTGTTTTAATGTGTTCAAAGTCTTTCACACGATTTTTTTGTGATATATTTCTCGTATTCTATGCGCCTTTTCAAATGTTTAACCTGTGCCCAGTCTAACTGGAGAGATTATGAGGCTTACAAAAATACCATTCATTGAGGATGACTGGAGATTATAAGGATTACAAAAATACCATTCATTTCGTACAGGCGCAACGAAGCCGACGCAATGAAGTAAATCTTCGTTTGGAAACAGAAAGCAGTGACCCTTAATCTCTCTGCTACCTCCTGAAACACAAAAGAAAATCCCTCTGGTCTCAGACTAACTTTATTTTTCAGCAGACTGCATTGATGCCAAGACAGCCATTAGTAGTCCATTCCCACACACCATAATCTAGAGCCTATCCATCCATCGTGAATGTGTGCTGGTAAGCCTACAAAGAAACCGAGAAGCCTAATCATTTAAATCACAAATAACGACGAGAATCGAGAATCGTATTAGCTATTTCGCAAGTGCACTTTTTGCCATCCGGTGACAGGTAGACGCAAGAACACCGAGACGGAAAAACGGCCGCCTGCATATGTGCCAGACTATAAAGTAGCCAGTAACGTTGGCCTGAGACTGATACGGATTTGAGTACGGCATACCATCAACTCTTTTGATCTGAAGGACACGTTAGCTACAACACAGAAGCTTAGCAAGCACAACTGACTCCAAGGGCTGACCGTAACCTATTTCATAATCTGGGAAATAATTTATCACATTAAACATAAACATTCTTAAACCACGTAACTAAAGGATTAAGCAATGTAATATTCTACTGTTAGCTGTCAGGCTATTAGGACTCTGTGCCTAATCTTGTTTACAGCTCTGTAATGCTGGGATAAGCGGCGAAAAAGATGTCCGACACGATGTGAAGTTCAAAATGCTTCACGACAAGAGTTGAAATGTACAGGACAACGTTACCTATGGGCCCATCTTTAAGTTTTGAAGACCGTCTTCCATTTGCACCTTTTTCAAGAACACCGCTTCCAGACTTCCTCCGCGACGCCATGTTTCTGATGTGAATCATTACCGCCCCCTCTGTTCCTGCCAGTTCATACCTGTCATTGAGCCACGCCCATATCCAAAATCCTAACCAATCACGGATCAGATGATGTCTATTGAACCTATCAAATCCTGTTAGAATTTTTTTCTAGTCAGCTGCCCATTTGTGTCTCAGGGTTTGTAACGGTTGCTTCTCAACAATGAATTAGACATAAACAACAGCAACAGTTTAAAAACTACCACAGTTTCTTTATTCATTTCTTTTTTTCTCTTTCTGGTTTTGTGTATGGTTTTGTACTCATATATATAATTGGCGATGTTTTTTTTATATTGTTTTATTTCAACAGTGATGCAGAAACTCACATAGGCTTTGTTAGTAGACCACTTTTAACGATACAAAGGCACAGACAAACAGATAAAAATCCACAGATAAAGAAAAAAATATATATAAAGACACATTTATGTTTTCTTTAATAGCTTTAAAATATGATTCCATGTCATTTCCCCTTTCCACCCTTATAAAGACAGCAACCTAATCCACTCTTTTTACTTTCAGCCTCTCCATTGCCACCTATTCAGGGCTTCTCCAGCAGAATGTCATCTTCCACAGTATTGACCACATCCTGGTAAGGACCTTGTACTTGAGAGCGTTGGATCTGATGATAGGTTGAGGTGCAATCGTCCAGATTTAGACCCTAAAGGCATGAATGGGTGTTGGTTAATCTTGTTTATGTTCTAATCATTAACCATTATGTTATTACAGCTTAATAATACCTCAACTGAACAATTGCTGTTATGATCTAATGTAGAGTATATCTAACATTGCAAGCAATTACACCACCCTCCCCCCTTCCCTGTGCAGGAAAATGATGTAGACACATGCAACTAAGAAAAACATTTTAGAAATAACATAGTATATACAAGAAATGCTAGCAGTCAGGATGCAGAAAGAGAAGACAAACCTCATAAATATTTTCTTCCTCCTTGCCCTTTCTCTTCTCCAGCTCATGAAGTCCCCTTGACTGTATAAAAAAGTTAGGATAACACATTTATGTGAGAGTAACCAAATGTGATCACTTATCATCACTAAATCAACTGACTGATGATCGATAATATAGCATTGCTTTGAGTTTGAATATGGATTATGCTATGGGTGAATCTGCAGTGATTAGTAGACAATTTGTATAATGATGCACATTTTAAATTCTTCTATTCTTCTTTTCTGGTAAGAGTTACCATATATATATATATATATATATATATATATATATATATATATATATATATACATATGTGTATATATATATATATATACATATGTGTGTATATATATATATATAAATATGTATGTGTGTGTATGTGTGTTCATGTGTGTGTGTATGTGTGTGCGTGAGACCTTGCAGATGAGCATGGTGCCAGGAATGAGCACGCAAAACAGCAGAAAAACACCTTGAACAGTGATGATGCTGTTTTTAGTCGTCTCGCTGATGTTCAGTGTCTTGCGAATGGGCTCTAATGAGGGGCATAAAGCAGGGAATATCTCATTGTACATGATAGAAAATTAATCCATTTTATACTGCACTACTACATAAACTCCATCAACTGTTAGAGAAAAAGAACTGTTAGAAGAAGAGAAAAAAGAGAGTCTCTGAGAATTTTCATGACTGAAGCAATACAGTTTTGTCAGTTAAAACACTTGGGATGACTGTCACAAAATGTGCATAGTCTATATTGCTGATGGCATGTTTTTAACTTTTCCATAATCAACCACACCAACAATATGGCGCTGTCACTAAGCCAAAACACAATGACTGCATTCACACAAACCTGTAGGTAAAACAGTCTATGGCTGTGTGTAACTGCAAATCTCTACCACCTACCTGTCTGAAAAGATTGGCCACTTGAAGCAGCTATTCTTGCTTTTATTTAACTTATAAACTTCTCATGTCTTGTCACGTTTACCATTGTCAACATATTTTCTAAAATATTTATTGCAATATGCAGATCAGACAAAGATTATTTGTGTATTTAATTGTATTTTAATTACAAACAATGGAACAAAACCTGCAAAAAATTAATATGCATCAGAAACTACATTATTCCAGTTGATAATATTGTTTTTTATGTTGTTAATTCACAAGCCATTACACTTACATGTTGCTTTAACTCACTGGCTACCGGTGTACAATTACAGACTGTAGCCCATCTGTCAGGCACAATTTGTTGTCAGCACTGCTTTTGACCACATATTATTTGGGTGGTGGGCCATTTTCAACTCAACAGCAACAATGACATGGTAGTGGCATGATAGCTATGCATTGGTGCTGGTATGAGTGCCCCATGCACAGCGTGTTAAAAGGGATTTTTAAACACAACACTGTCACTCATAGGTTGAGAGTGGTCCACCAGTCCTAAATATCTAGCCCTGTGGCTCTGTGGTCAGAAAGTGACCATTAAGGAAGTACAAGAAGACAGCTAACCGAAATTGTACGTGAACAGCTTGGCTACAGACTCTAACTGCACACCAGCAAGATGGAGCTGGAATGTAAGGTAGGTGTTTCCAATGAAGTGGACAGTGAATATGATTTTTTCTTTATTGTAGTCCTAACCATCAAGCAATAGTAACATAAAAGTAGGTAATGTAAAGAAAGAGCCCAATTGCATGCATAAAAAACAAAAACCTTTAAATCGTTTAAAACTCACCAAACACCTGCAGGAAGGTGCCGGGCGTAGTAAGAATGTAGGGCGGCTGAGTGAGGTTTAGGGTGCACGAATACAGGCCAATATCAGTCTTGCTGACATTTTTTAGCTCCAGAGAACTGCATTTGACATCCTTTTCCGTCTCTTTTATGAAAGTATTTGATACTTTCATTCGTTCATTAGGCAGGGTGATCTGGTTACTCGTACTGTTACCGTGGGAAGTCATAACTGTCAGGGACCATGTGACCTGGCTAGGTGTGCCTTTGTAACAGCACTGCATAGTGGCTGTCTCTGAGACAGGGATCCGTAAGGAGGGCTGGTCATCCATCAGGCTTGTTTTCGCTTGTGCAGCACTGTCATCAACTAATGAGAAAAATCAAATACACACAGTTTTCCCCTCAGTTGAACTGTAATCAATCAGCCAAGAAGGCAGGTTTGGTGTCCAAAGTGTTCTTCCTTATTTTTACACTGAAGCTACTTGGCTAATGTAGCTAATAAGCAGTGAAAGCTTATGTACACCAATTAGCATCACACATTTGTCATAAACTGTGTTGAATTGTTAAATAATCTCAATTAGACACTATAAGAGATAAGTGTCTAAGATATTAGACACTGTAAGGTATATACTGTAATAATCTATAATATTGTAATAATAATACCGCTGCAATAATTAAATAAAAAAGCAATAGGCTTATTGCTTTATTATTTAATTATTACAGTAGTATTTTTATACTATAAGAGGCTGTGGGTTACTGCGATTATATCATGGGGAAGGGTGTTCTTTGGCATGATGTGAAGCGGAGTGCCTAAAACTCCCTTCCCTGAGATAAAAACTCAGTGCCTTGAGTGGCTTATTGCTTTTATGAAACGGCAGCCAACATAAAATATATTAAAATACACGATGTTTTAGATAATTATTTAATTCGAACACAGCCAATCAGATTTTAGGACCAGAACTATAATTTTATAGTTCTTATAGTTAATCTTATAGTTATAATCTTAATTAGACACTGTAAGATATGTGATACTATAAGGTATTTTATACTATAAGATATTAGACACTATATGATATATAACATAAGATATCTGTGGAACTGGACAAAAGTAAAGACAATATTCAGAGAATTCAGGCAATATTCAGAATATTCAGGTTCGATATCTGAAAAAGATGTGCCCAATTTGAATTTGATGCCAGCAACACAGTTAAAAAAAGTTGGGACAGTGACAACAAAAGACTTGAAAGTTGTATTATGCTAAAAAAAAATCTCACCACGGGTTAGTTTAATTGGCAACAGGTCAGCATGATTGGGTATAAAAGGAGCAACGCAAAGAGGCTGAGTCTTACAGAAATAAAGATGGGGAGGGGTTCACCACTCTGTGTGGTGTAAAATAGCTTGGACATAGCAAGAACTTGGGGATTTCATTATCTACATAAAATCATGTCATTGAAAAGATTCAGAGAATCCAGAGAAATCTCTGAATGCAAGGGACAAGGCCAAAAACCAATTTTGGCTGACCTTGATCTTCAGACATTTAAGAAGCACTGCATTAAAAACAGATATGATTTTATAGTGGACATCACTGCATGGCCTCAGGAACACTTCCAAAAACCATTGTCTGTGAACACAGTTTGTTTCTGCATCCAAAAAAAGCAAGTTGAAACTCTAACAGGCAAACAAGAAACCATACATAAACAGGATCCAGAAACACTTTTCTGGGCCTGAGCACATTTAAGATGGAAGAAAAAGGAAAAGTGTCCTGTGGTCCAACGAATGAAAATTTGAAATTCTTTTTGGAAATCATGGACGCCGCATCAAAGAAGAGAGGGGCCATCCAGCTTGTTATCAGGGCACAGTTTAAAAGCCAGCATCTGTGATGGTATGGGGGTGAAATAGTGCACATTGCAAGGGCGACTTGTATATTTGTGAAGGCACCATTAATGTTAAATGACATATACAGGTTTTGGCAACTTATGCTGCCATCCAGATGACGTCTTTTTCAGGAAAGGTCTTGCCTATTTCAGCAAGACATTGCTAAACTACATTCTGAATGTATGACAACAGCATGTAGCAGCTCTGTAGCAGAAGATTCTGGGTGCTAAACTGGCTTGCATGCAATCCAGACCTGTCACCCATTAAAACCTCTGCATTATGAAACAAAAAATACAACAAAGTAGACCCTAAAACAGTTGCGCAGCTGAAATCCTAGATCAAGCAAGCAATTTCCAGAACTACAGCAATTGGTTTCAGTTCCCAAATGCTTATAGAGTGTTGTTAAAGGTGATGTAACACATGGTAAACATTCCCCCGTCCCAAATTTTTTTAAATTTGTTGCTGGCATCAAATTCAAAATGGGCACATATGTTTCATGAAATAATTAAATGACTCAGTTTCAACATTTGATATGTTGTCTTGGTACTATTTTCAATTAAATATAGGGTTTAAATGATTTGCACATCATTGTGTTCTGTTCTTATTTTGGAAACAAGGTTGTAATCTATACAGTAGTTTTGACAGCCGAGACGCAATGCTTTTAAGAAGCATTTCAGTTTGTATTTTATAAAATAAGGCATAAAAAAGATTTAGACCAATTCGCTGATCAGTTAGCTGATATCAGCCTGCTATGCCTCTATCTTATTTGTTTTTGCTACTGTTGAATAAAAAAAGCAGTTTAAAATGTGCATTTGTGCTAACAAACACGTATCATGAAAGTCTATTTGTTATATTTTTGCCAAATCACTAACCGTAATTTTTAAGTTTTACAAACTATACAAAAGTCTCTTTATTAAACCACACTGAAGAGCACATTATGCACCTTTGTTAAAAAAAGATTAAAAAAACTGAAATATGATTGTACAAGTCTAAGGCCATCTAACACCTGTTTTAGCAGGAGATGAGCTCCACTGGAGCAAGACAGGAACTAGAGTCTCTGGACTGTGGCAAATGAGAGCAAAGTAAATATAACAGACTAGATTGAGTTATAACTTGTTGAAGAATGCATTAGTCTATGAAAGCATAAACGAGCTTTGAAAAGCAATCTTTCTATCTTTGAACTTTAGCACTATTAGCATAGCATTGTATTTCAATATGTTTGGGTAATAAGCCAATCCAGTGCAAGTTGCACAACCACAATCAATGCAATTGTTCCATGATCATTATAAAACAAAAACCGATTAACATATTTTGAGTTTCTGTGCATACTTACCTGCCAAAAAACAGAATAGAAAGACCATTCTTGCCTCCATCTTTGATTATACTTCTCACACAGGTGCCAAAATACAGACTCTAAAATAATGCCTCTTCCTCAGATGTTCGCACTTTGATATGATGACATTTTCCGTTCACTCCTACTCATTTGTTTTCCCCCCACCCACTACTCTCCTCTCTCTAATAGACAGGGGTGTAGAAACCCATTGATGCAGTTTGATGTGTCAATCCCAGCTGCATCAGTTTTGGAATGTTAGAACCAATATAATCAATTATAGTAATATCTAATAAAATATGGCACCATTTCTTCATTTTTTTTCAAACAAAAATAAAAAACAAAACAAATGATTCCAAATTAGGGTTGGATATTGAAATCAATACTTTTATGATGCTGGCCAAATTACCTCAATACTACAGAGTATACAAAGATTCTGTGTCATTCTATACAGTCAAGTAGTCGGTTTTGGAATCTGTGAGCCAATAGGCATGCTTGTTGCATTTTGTAAGCATTTCATTAACATGGTTATGATGAATTATGTTAAGGAAAATGTTTTTCAGGATTACAGGAACAATGAAAGTGAAGCATTTATTGATTTGAAAAATTTTATCAATTTGAAGAATTAATAAAAATGTGACAAACAAGAAGCCTTTCAAGACACGCCTTATTAACACTTTGGATGTGTTGGTGTATATATATGTATATATATTATATATATATATTATATATATATATATATATATTATATATACCAATCAGGCATAACATTATGACCACCTCCTTGTTTCTACGCTCATTGTCCATTTTATAAGCTCCCCTTAGTATATAGCAGTGGTGGATGAACTACACAAATCATGTACTTGAGTTAAAGTAGAGATATCCATGGTAAAATATTACTCCAGTAAAAGTGGAAGTCCCTTTAGACCTCCACTTGAGTAAAAGTACAAAAGTATTTGCCTTCAAATGTACCTAAGTATTGAAAGTAAAAGCATTAAAGATTAATTATGACTCTGATGTCCTATTATCATTTTTGTAACAAGACTCTTGCTTAATCAACTCACGTCAGTGTTACTGCAGTGTTGAGAATGATCCACCACCCAAATAGTACCTGCTCTGTGAGGGTCCATGGGGGTCCTGACCACTGAAGAACAGGGTAAAAGGGGGCTAACAAAGTATGCAGAGAAACAGATGAACTACAGTCTGTAATTGTAGAACTACAAAGTGCACCTATATAGTAAGTGGAGCTGACAAAATGGACAATGAGCGTAGAAACAAGGAGGTGGTCATAATGTTATGCCTGATCTGATTGGTGTGTATACACACACACACACACACACACACATATATATATATATGTACATGGGTGTGTTGTGTGATGGGCAATACAGCCTGTTGATGTGGAAGTGAAACAGCCACATTTGCTTTTCATCTGCTGGTGAGAAAAAGAGGAAGAATGAAAAATAGAACACTAAATCATTAGCACAAGCCATCCTGGGTTATACCATCATGTGTAACATATAAAACTGTATTGGGGGAAATGAACTTCTTCTTCATTCCCTCTCTCTTCTAGGGCCATAGAAATATCACCCAGCCTGAGCACATTAGCACTGCAAATAATGATAATTTCTGTTAAGTATCAGTCTGCTAATTTTTTTTAAATAAAAATTAAATAATTACTGACTATTTCACAAAGAGCTGGTATCCTGCAGTTTGTGTTAAATAGTATTGGGATGGTTGCTGAAACTGACTGAATATGGCACAAACAGCCCCACCTAGAATTATTTTCACCAGCCGCCACTGATACTTACCAATATGTTGTGAGCCTGTGTCTTTATTCGATAAATATCATAAAAGCTCACAATGTAGAGTAAGAGAGAAAGATATGTCACTAAAACTACTGTTTTGTCTTAAAAAAAAAGTCTTAAAAGGTCTTAAAAGGAACTCACCAATTTTTCAAAATTTCTGTATATTTAAAGTTTTAAAATGTAGTCATTCAGAGTGGCTTCATTCTAGAGAAACTTACCAAGTCAGAGTTGTTCACAGTGGTGGTGATAGCAACCAAACGTCTGAAAAGTTTAACGCCTCTAAAAGTTCCTCACAGAAAGTTATTACACAAAATGGTTATGAATACGCTGCCTGATGCCTGAGACAATGTTTTACGATAGCTTTGTGATAAAGCTTTGGCCTAAAACATCTTGCTAATTTATTTATTTTAATCCATTCACAGTAGAGGGATACGCGCAGGGTGTTGTGAGGCAAAATAATCCCCAAAGAAAACTTATATTTTCATTACCACTACTTTACCATCATTACCTATGACCTATCACCACCACTGTAAAGAAATCTGAGTCTATAACTTTCTCTACAATTAACCATTTTACATCAAACCACTCCAAATGACTTACATTGCAACTATGGAATTGCAATATGAAAAAATGAAAAATTGGTAGAATTCCCTGTTAATACTTTAAGTAGTAACATGAAAATGCATATTATACTTAAATAGCCTCAATAAGACCATTCTTACATAAGTCAGCTATTCTTTGTGTGGTCTGTGTTTGTCTGGAGCATAATTTCTTTCTTTTTTGCTCCCTTTTACACGATCCATAATGCATAGTATACTCTGTAAAAAGTGTTTTCCATGAAACTTTGCAATGCAACTGTATATTCGTATGTGATCATTAAGATCATCAGTACTGGCTAAAACAGCCTACAGATTTCTGCTCCCAAACTCTGATGCTTGTGTTCTCGTTACAGTTTGCAGAACTATGGTCTATGGTCTATGTTCCTGTTTAACAACTGATCTAGTCATGCTCCGCCTACAAATGCACTCTTTGGTAGCTACTCTTGTGAAGCTAGACAAGCTTTACTGATTGCTGGCGAAAAACCCTGTTTGTGCCTAAAACAGTTTCCAGTTTCTGTCAAAATATCTATGGCTACCCCTTAAAAGTAAATCATCTGAAAACAATAAAAGAATTATCATCATCCTGAAAATAACGAATCAATAAGCGAGATAAATAACATGATATGTGAAAGACCATACAATCTTTGTCTCTGACCTGACAGAACATGTATAAATAGCATTTAATAAATAAGTAAATAAATAACCTCTCAAACATTTTTTGTTTATTCCAAACAGCACTCCACAGAATGTTAACGACTGGACCCTCTCATGAGCGAATGTAACTTCAGTGACCATGTGACCACCAAACGTGGAGCATGTGTAACTGCTATACATCAAATAAATAACACCTGCATGTGTTCGTTACTCTAAAGTCAGTAATTGATTATGAAAAAAGGAAGAAAAAAAAACATCAATTAAAATGTACTTTCTTGATGAATTGGCAATGACTAGTTGGCAGTTTGCATGGTGGTACTGTATATATTATATTTTTCTTCAGATCTCTCAAAGTAACAAATGGGCAAAAAGTCTTTAAATGTTTCATTGTTTTTCCAATAAAATATATTTCAAAGGATATGATCTGTTACTGTTCAGTCCATTTTTATTAAAAAAAAGAAAGCTCTGATCGCTTGATAATAAAATGGTAGATTAATTGATTATATACACATATAGTGATGGCCCTGGTTATAATGAGTCATTCTCATACAGTACCACATGTAATGTCACCTGTTGACCAGCAGGGATGATGCTCAGTTGTAGCTGCTTCTTTGCATGGTGAATTTAGTAAGGCCTTCCTGCAGCCTGTGTTACTCCTCCTCAACATTCTGTAAAAACATAATTGACATAATTACACTTGATGAGTTTAATTTTTAATAAGACAAATATAAAGACAGCGGTTCAAATAGCCTGACTCCAATTCTCTTTTAATTTACTCCATCTTGACCTATTCTTGACTCAGTTTCACCTGTGGTTTCTTCAGTTTGTCTTCTAGCTTATCCAGATTCCTGCAGACCTCTTTCATACTCTTGTGTGAAAGGACTAGTGGAGAAACAATTGCTGGAACCCTCTTTTAAGAAAAGGTATTCAGTGAGGGAGATTACTGATATTAACTGGTGTTGGATATCAACAGCATTAGCATTCCTGACAAATTCAGTGTCTAAACAAAATCTAAGTCCAAGATCATTTGGGAATGTACCCATAATATCTTTTAGCCCTTCATGATTTGCCATGATGATCTAGAAATGGGAATGTGAAACAGGGCTCCTTTTAGGTTTTCTTGTGTTCTTGCCTGATGCTAACTTCCTCTGCCCAAGTCCCACTCCAATATTCAAGCACCCATATGTATTCCCCAATTAAATAATCAACATTCTCATGATACTACTAATAGTCTTTTATTTTCATTTTGTATCTAATTTGGATACTTTCTTTTTCTGGTCTCACATAACACACAGGATTAAGAATAAAGAATTAAATAAATTGAGCAAAATTGTGTAAAAACAAAACAAAACATGTAGTGTGAATGGGCTTCACAGCTACCGCGTTATACTGAGTATAATGCAGGTAGTATCCAATGACTGACTTCCATCTGTTTCTGTGTCCTGTTTTGCCAAACCTAGTTAGCCTGCCTACTGTGTGATTTCTATGTGGCTAAGCTACAACTGTACAACCAATATTTAGGGGCAGAATTTAGTGAAAGGTGCCCTATGACTAGTTTGCTTCAATTTGAAAGTGCATCATATTCTTTGAGATATTTCAGAAAATAGTTTTCTTTCAGTTTAGAAAAATGATTATGACACATGCTGCAGAAAACAGTGGAATATTTTACTTTGAAATGTAGAGCAGTGAAAGTAAAAGTCACAAAAACCTATAAAGTACAGACACTTGTTTAAATGCTTAAAAATGAACACATTCATACCAATATTGTTCTTTAGTGGGTCCTGTTCATTTTTAGAGGAGCTGAGAGGGGGTTCTGGCCTAGAGGAGAGAAAGAAGTGAAATGTGAATGAAATTAACTGTTAATGAGCTTAGAAATTTAGGTGTGGCTGGCATCATATTTACAAAGTAATGGAAATGTGGTGTAAAGGCTGAATGCAAACAGTGCTCTTTGCTTAATGTGTATTCTTTCAAAAAACATTGTGATAAATATTTATTATTCATAGATAAAAATGTGAGGTAGCAAAAGTGGCCATGACAAAAATGACTGCCAAGCACCCTATTTTTCCATAA